AAGCATAACTGCAGGTATTGGAGCAATGAAAATCCTCATACTTTTGTAGAAGAGCATTTCAGCATCCCCAAAAAATTGAATGTATGGGGAGGCATTTTAGGAAACAAAGTGATTGGGTCATTGTTTATTAATGGACATTTGAATGGAGACATTTATTTGGATATGTTGGAAAATACCATCAATCCCCGTATCACTGAAACCATTGAAAACTAAATCAAGGAGAATGGAAACCCTATACTTGACGAGGCTGAAATATATTTCTAGCAAGACGGCGCTCCTCCTCCCTATGTTCTTTCGGTTCGGCAATGGCTAGACGACGAGTTTCCAACTTTGAAGTTGAGTCATTAATTTTCAGATAATGATTGTAGAAGGAAGATAAACCAAAATATGTGTGTAAAAATAAAAAAAAAATGTTACCTTGTTTTATAAAGTATCCTCCCGACAAGTATTTCAGTGCGGACCTGTATTTGATCGTGCAGTCTTGGAGCACCGGGTTGGTTGCACTCGATTGGGAAACCGATCCGCAAAATCTGTGATGCCGCGTAAATAAGAATCATGTCCACAAGTTCAGCATTTTCGTAAACATGTGCCATTTTTGATTTCGTTTGAGCCACGCAACAGACACCACTCACGCGTTACCGACTGACACAACTGAATAAAATAATGGTAAAAACATCGTTCCAAATTCTTTCGCTTTTTTGTTTCCGATGCGATGAACCGATAAGGCGGATTATATCCGTTGTTGCCAAACACGAGCACATATTATTATTGAGACAGGGCGGTACTCAAACTTCCAAAGGGCTATAACTTTGTTACTTTAATTTTACCAGAAAAATGGTAAAGGAAAAAACATTTCTTTTGATCAGATCTACTCACTGTTAAAATAAATGACTCAACTTCGAAGTCACCCTGTATAAATGGATAGGGCGAAGAGGGCCTATAGAACGGCCTGCTAGATCTCCTGATTTGACGCCATTAAACTTTTTCTATGGCGTCATTTGGAATCTATTGTGTTTACTCCCCAACCAGAAAGTTTGGATGAACTTCGTCAATGCATCATCGAAAGTTGCCATGATTCCACATCTTTCTGAAAATGTCCCTCAGAAATTTGAACATCGCCTATATCATTGTTTGTCCAATAACGGGCAACATTTTGAAATAAAAAGTGCTATTTTCGTGTGTTTTTGTTTTCTGTCTGAACAAATTAAAATAAATAAATATTTTTATAATTTTCGAGAAAACGTATTGACCGATTTTTAAAAATCAAACGTCAAAATAAAGGACTTTGAAAGGCCTTTCAAACAAGCTATTACACGATACCCCTTGTCACTTGATATTTTTAAGGGGATGACCCTGGGGGGCAGAGAGTGAAAGGGGGTGCAGTAGTTTCTAGTTGAAAGGTTGGCCCCCTGACAGATCTTTTGACGTGTCTCGGTGTTTTTTCTTTCAATCGGTGATTTACGATAAATCCGTGGCGGGAAGTTTTCAAATGAACACCCTGTATATGATATTTGCCTTCTTCATTTTTTTGTTTCAATTATACTGTAGTTTTTAGAAACATCCTCCCTACTTATTCTTTAAGCGAATCAACCTAGCGAGCTGAAATTCGAGATGATGGAATTAACGCACCAATACTATCTTTTAACGTAAAAATAACAGCTGAAGATTATTAGATGGTAGATGGGCGCCATTTTGTAACACTTTTTTAACTGGCAAGGGGGCCATGTGATACTTTATCTTGGAGCTCCTTATAGGTACTTTATAACCCTAGAATTCAAAATCACTATCTTCCAAAATGGCGTACTGGGAGGCTGTCAGGTTTTTTGAAAAATAGTTACCTTATATTCTAGGGTTATACACAATAGTCACAAGGAGCTTCAAAATGAAGTAACCTAAGAACCCCCATTTCGTTTAAAAAAATATTCCAATATGACGACCAGCCGCCATCTTAACATATTCAACTGTTATTTCATATAAAGTAAAAGAGAGTTCATGTATCAATTCAATAACCCCGAATTTCAGCTTTCTGACTTGACGCGTTCAAAAAATAAGTAGGGGGACCTTTTTGAAAAGCACTGTACTAAGTTAATATTATATTTGTATCATGTTTACTTTGAGTAATACTTGTTGCGACGAGCGACAAGTGTACGTACAATAATTATCTACCACGACCGATATGTTCAGCGTTAAACTTCATATATACTCTTCAAATATAAAATATGCACCTATAGATACACATAAGAATCGAATGTATCAAAGTATTTGTGTGACTTACATAGATATCCCATACACTTTCGGAAGTCGAGGATTATAAGAAACATGATTTTTGCCCCATAGATATATCAAAGTTCTTCTCTTGAAGGGGCATTTCAAAGTATATTAAAATTTTATAGGGTACCTACTCCATTCGAAAAATATATTTTTGTGTTGTCCTGTAGATATGAATCACCCTAGAGAGAGAGAGAGACATATTTTGAAAGTGATGAGCGTATAGCTGCCCACAATTTTTATTAATAGCTTTTTAGATACTTTAAATATAGGAACTTAACAAATTAAAGAATCGCCCTTGTCGCTTTGCTGGTGGTTAGATCTCGTTTCCGCGACAAAGACACCAAAATTCTTGTGATTGAATATATCTCAGCAGCGTAGCAAAAGCAAATATTTTTTCGTTTATTGTAAAAATATTTCCACCATTACAAATTTTGTAGCTTTTTCATAAATAAGTCATCAATACTCCGTCGCTTATTTTTGGACAAACATACTCCTTTTTAGTACTGATTCGCGCAATCTGCACTAGATCATATCGAAGTATTAACATTTTACGATTGCAAAGAATATCTGCGGCCGCTGCAGAGTACGTGGCAACACCGGCTGCTGCTGAGCACTAAAACCTCTTTCATCGTTGTACTAGGGAAATTTACATGCGATTTTCTCCATAGAAATGGCCGCCGTTTCTGATAGTGTCAAGAGAGTTTCAAAGCTAATTGTTATCTAAGAATCTAAGCTGTGCAATAAACATATAACAAAGAATTTCGATGAGTAGCCTAAAAAAATAATTTTGCACTAACCATCTTCCATCCATTTTTGAATCTCCGTGTCTTCAAAGCTTTGCTTCATTTCCCGTAATCCAAAGGGTGAAAACACTACAAACACTCACTAACACTTGTTTTACTTGCCACCAGCACATTTTGACTGGTACGATAGAGTTTTCAGTTTGAAAACACTGAAAATGGCGGTCCCGAAAAGCCCGTGTAACAATCCCGCGGTATATGAGAAGCATTTCTTCTCTCTTCCAAAGATGCCAAGCACTACAAAAACTTATTTTACATGCCAGCACACTTTTCCGGGTGCGGCCGAGTTATCTCTTCGAAAACACTGAAAATAACGCTCTCGACGAGCCCGTGTAATAAGCCCGCGAAAAGTACTAAAAACAATTGGAAGATTGCATACCAGACGACGACAAACGTTTTTCCAAGATTTCAGTTCGGGGAATTCCTCAGGCGAGTTTGTATTAGTAAGGGCAATTTCGTTTATTTCAACAATTAATTTTTTCCTCTACTACTGTTACATATGGTGGTAAAAATAAATAGTAATCATATTAATTAGTATTCTTATACCATAAATTTATCGGGTGATGAAGGTGATTAACCGACTATCTCTAACAAAAGAGAGAAAGAAGTCTATAAAGCAGTGTTAACTCAAGGACTACAAAAAGGGTACCGCATCTGCAACTCCAAGAGGACGGTTACTAGCACTACCACTACTACATCTGAGGTGCTGAAAATTTCTGAAAATTTTAAGACTTAGCGATCTGATGAACAACACTATGGATCAAAGCGAAATAGTTCAGAACTATCTCAGGAAATCTTAAAATCGACACTTCGGAGACTCCTGCGATTAATGCCACGACTTCCAAAAGTAGAAATACGGGTCGAAAGTGAGTCCAAAAACCTCAATGTCAGTGGCGCTTTTATATCAAAATTCGATTCATAACGCGGATTTCGGATAGTTCGTGGTATACCTAGACCTTTCCCTCCATGCCAAGTTTATTTAAACGACCAGCGACAGTGATGACAGTGATGTGATGCACGATACTATGAAAATCAAGGAGGCCATAAAGGCGTCCTACAATTGTAGGAACGACTGCCGATTCGGCACTTAATGTCCAATTGTGTACGTATACTCTAAGACGTTATTATGACGTGTTTTTGAAGTTCTATCTTAATTTTGTATTTATTTTCATATGTAAGTACGATGTTTTTGGTATTTCCGATTCAAAGCGGATCAAGTCAACTTGCAGAGAAATAATTATCTCATTCCATCCTTCATCGACGTTCAAAGTTAGCTAGATTTTTCTGGACATTCTGAACCAAAAAGGTTATAAATTAATAGTTTCCGAGATTTAATATCCGGAAAATATGCCATCTTCGAGTAACGGAAATTTTAACGTCCTCAAAGCTCCCGAATATTCTTCAAAGACCCTTTAAAAAATCTTAAAACATCTTAGGGAGATACTGTAAGCCTTTGTTTTTAATATCTAAGGGCTCCCTCAAGCTGAGTTTACTTTGAGAGTGCGGTTGATTAATAGTTAAAAACAAAGCTTTAGAAACATTAAAATGTTCGTCCATATTGTATATCTGGTAAACTATCAATTTTAGAGAAGAGTTCATGGAAACTTTTTTGTTCAGAATGAGCCGAATCAACCTGAAAGAACTCTGTCAGGAGAGAAAAAAATTTTGAGAGACTGCTTAAAAAAGTCTTGGGAGGCAATTTTGGGCCTGACAACATGCAAATTCGAAGCGGTCCTTTTTGAATAAAATTATGCAAAAAACGGAATCAGAATATTTTTTCGAACAAATGCGACGATATTCCCTAGACTATTGAGGCAGTTTCCACAACACCAGAATCCGGATATATTTGGAAAGATGTTACATGATTAGGAAAGCTCAAAACCCCCATATTGGTACCAATGACTTATAATTTAAATCCCTCTCTTCTAGTAGCTTTCACTAAGGTATTAGCTCAAGCTAACTGCAGCTGGGGATCTTGGTCTCAAAATATCCAAGAAATGGGGTTGCTGTACCCTCTAGTGGTAAAAATATGCATTCGTTCATCTTTGATTTATGCGAGTTTCCGACAGATGGAGCAACAAGGTCGGAACTGACAGTTTGAGATGATTGAGAAGAATCGATTTGAGGTTAGCAGTTAGCTCCTAGCTTCATTATTGTGATGTTTGTCATTTTTAAAGTGCTAGGAGTTGGCAAATTTTGTAACACCGCAAACATAAACAATATTTCCCACAAATGTGCGGTGTCGCAACTGATGAGACGAATACTTAATGCCTCATAATCATTATTCTATACATATTGCCCTAGCAACGCATAATTTTAAAAAACTTGTGACGTTTGACAGGTGCCACCTCACCTAAATAATCTTACGTGGTTTTCCCATAATTTTCGATATTTTTAAATAATACAATGGCTTTAGAAGGGCCAACGGCCAATGTAGAGGTTTCCCCCGCATTTATAGAAAGTCTGCAAACTGATTTCAAGAGCTTAGCCAGTGAATCAAAGAAAAAATATCCACAAGTCAAAGAGGTAGGATTGTTTGGTACGTTATCCATAACAATAACAAATACTGTGGTTTCAGGCATGTGAAGAGGCAATATCTAAGCTAAAAAGTATTCAGTCAACCCCACAGTCTTCAATTACCTATGTTGTGAACCAAATGATCTACCCATTATCACAAGGATGTGAAACGAAAGATGTCAAGCTCATAAGGGTAAGAATCCTTGAAGTAATATGTAAATAGCAATAGATATCATTCAGGAATCCTCTAAATGATTTAAATTCAATTAGTAGTAGAAAATATATCTATTCATGAGCTTGCCGTTGTTTTTATCAATTATAATTAGCAAATATAAACAATAGGAGCTTGTGTGATATCCAACTCTCTAATAAAAGATAATATTGCATATGCAGCATACATTATCTTACAAAAACTATCATTGGACATATCAACTGATATTAGATTGAGAATGTTCTATTGTGATTTATAGAAAACTTATAAGACAGTATTATTTTGGGTAAGGTCTGAGATATGTCTTGATATACTCATAAATCCAAATTTAGTTATTATAAAGGAAAATTTGTTTACTTCCAGATATGTCTTCAGATAATGCAAAAACTGATAACAAATCAGCTCATTGATCAGAAAGGTGCTTTATATATAACTGATACGCTATGGGCTTTGATGGAACTAGGCATAGAAGAGGTGAAGATCTTACAGACTGTTACTTTGCTACTTACCATCAACACAATTGTGCATGGGGAGACACTTGCTAGGGTAAGCATATTCTTTGTGCTTTAGATTACAGTAACATGTTAATTTTAATAGAAAATAGAGCAAAGCTACTGATGGATCAACCTCAGATGTTGTATGAATGTTATCGACAAACTATGGTAATTTCTGTTGACCTATTTACTGATTTTTAAATGTTTTTGTCTGACCAACTGTTTGTGTTACTTTTGTTTCAGACATTAGTATTGTGTTTTCGGCTCCACTTTGCTAAAAATTCAACCACAATAAACACTGCTGGTGCCACAGTGAGGCAGTTGGTTTACCTTGTGTTTGAAAGAATTATTGCCGAAGATGAGCAGTTAAGCAAATTGGAAAACCCACCCCAGAGAGCACCTGTTAATTTTGAAGAATTAAAAATTCCCAGTAGTCAACCTCCAAAAGGTAATTGTAAATATTCAACTCAGCGTAATAAGTATTATTATCTTAAATTCAAAATCATAGTGATACACAATACTATATAAATAAAATGTGAAGTTAAAATTTTTTATTTCTAATATTCATTATAATTTTGCTTACAACAGATGTTATTGTTCTATGTCTATGAATTAGGATTTATTTTTGTATTTATTGTGTCAATTTAGCAATTATATGTTGCTGTCTAACTTGCTGATATATGAAAAGTGATAAACTTCTGTTTTCAGGTTTAGCTCCATGTGCAGGAGATGCCTTTTTGCTTTTTCAAGATTTAGTACAGTTAGTGAATGCAGATCAGCCATATTGGCTTATTGGAATGACTGAAATGACTCGGACATTTGGACTTGAACTGCTCGAGTCTGTTTTGACACAGTTTTCTTCAATATTTTACAAGGTGAGGGGTTTCTAGGAGAATAGTTGAGAAAATCCTTCATTCAAAAGCATTGTATCTAACTAGATTCTGATGCTCAAATATTCAAAGTAATTGTTTTTATTTTTTTGCAGTATGCAGAGTTCAGTTTTCTACTAAAAGAACGAGTTTGTGCTTTAGTCATCAAACTTTTCTCACCAAATATCAAGTATCGCAGCAATGTACCAAGCAGCATACAGCAAGCCACACCATTTGAAAAGCCTTACTTTCCTATTAGTATGAGATTGCTCAGAGTTGTGTCTATACTTATCCAAAAATATCACAGTCTACTGGTAAGTGAAATCTACCACTCCATTCTTTTTTGAATTTCATTAATTGGTACAGACTAAACTTTCAAATTTTTAATAGTATTAATAATCTTTATTCCATTGGGATAACCCAAATCACAGGTAGAATACAAAATTTACCATAGATTGAGTAAGAATCAAGAATAATTGAATCAAAGAAAAATCAGACTCGGGAATAAAATAGGCAATAAAATAAATATAAAAAATAAAATTTCATATAAACAGTGTACAAGATTTGATGAAATCACTATAATCTTAAACCTTCAACTGTCCGCATTTTCAAAGGACCTATTCGGATTTAATAGAAAGGTCGTAAGGGCCATAGTGGGTCTCATCTAAATTGACATATGAGACTGTTGGGTCTTGCAGAAGAGGTCACATTCCATTTCTGCAGAGAGCATGAGGAAACCCCAGTGCATTTCCTGTGTCATTGTGAAGGCCTAGCAAGGTTACGGTTTCAGATAGTAAAAACCACAAATCCACCAGCGGAAATCTACATGCAAGGCTGTGTCAAGGCTATGGAGTTTGATTAAAGGATCAAGTCTGGACACACAGAAAGTGTATATGGGTCACAATAGATCCATTTGGGTCACAGTGACGTTAAGGCTAGCAAACCAACCCCTCAATTTTGTAATCTAAATCTTGAACAGTATCAAAGTATTGCTCCATAGTTTCCTCAAAGTCTAAAACGGTATTTTTCTATATTTTTATTTCTCAACATTTTTGATGTGGTTGTTCTATTCAACATAAATATTGAATTTGAAGTGATTTTTTTTTCTTTTGTAGGTTACAGAGTGTGAAATATTCCTATCACTCATAGTGAAATTCTTAGATCCAGACAAACCAACATGGCAAAGAGCATTAGCTCTGGAAGTTTTGCACAAAATGTCTATTCAGCCAGAGCTTCTTGTGTCTTTCTGTGAATGTTATGATCTGAATAAACACACCACCAGTATTTTCCAAGATATAGTGAATTCTTTAGGTGCTTATGTACAGTCACTCTTTGTTAGCCAGCAGCTTCAAATGGGATCTGGACGTAAGTTTTTTTCTTGATTTTATTTGAAAACAAAACATTTTTATTGTGAGTTCCAATGGAAAAATGTAATACTGGCCTCTAAAAGAACAAAACTAATTCAAGGATTCTATGAAAATATAGAAAACCGGCAATAGTCACAAATGTCTCATGCTAGATAACTTAAAACCTCATTCACTAGTAATAGTTGAATCAACCAATATTTGTTTTAGTTCCAATGTCTCAAGGACAACCTCAGCTTCTGATGGGAGGTTTACCAAATGGTCCTGGTGTCACTCCACAACCTGGGTTTCTTCTGAGAGGTGTATGGTTACCTCTAGTAGCAACTTTTCCTACCGGACAAGCAAAAGCCACATAGTAAGTTCATTACACAGTATTTTTTGAAGTTGGTAGTTTCCTTTACACAGCATATACTTTTTGTAAAAATAAGCCTGTTGCCTGCCTCTGTCAAAGGTAAACCGAGCTGTTTGCTTATAAATCGAGTGGGAACTTGTCAGTTTGATGTTAGTTTACAGTAAATGTCTTCAAAATACTGATGTTACTTCTAGAGTGTTCAGATGGTTTTCCTGAATGTTTCCATCCGCGCGGCTTAGATTTGTTTTATGTGGTACAAACGATGTTTAGAGAAACGTCGAGGTGGCCACAGTAAAAGATATAAACAGCCGCGAATATTGAAAATTCAGAAAAAAGTCAACAGATTTGTTTTTTTGGATCAGAGGGCGCCAATTTTGCACAGTAATTACAAGCAACATGTTACCCGGCGGTACTTGAAATTTCTTCTCACTTTGTTTAATTTGTCGGTACTGTTTTACCATTCAGTACTTACGAGTTCAATCATAGTTATTTCTGAAAAATTCCAACTGGTCCAAACATCCTGTATATTTAGTCGCAGCGAGGTAATATTAATCTTCAAAATTTAGGCAAATCAATCAACTAAACTGCTAGGAGTGGTGATGGTGAATATTGGTAACATTGCCTTAATTATATTAATTGAAGCCTTTGGTGCAAAAGATGTGTTAACTCAGATTTTATAGTTTGGAGATAATTGGCCTCAACGTGTAAATCCTGACATTTTTTATTGAATAGTGTTAGGGCTGCTTTTATTAATGAAAGTTATTTTAGACACATATAAAAGTTTATCAAATAGACAGTTTTGTTGAAAAACTTGCTTTTATTGTCAGGAATTTGAAAGATTGTTAAAAATCTGACTTATTTGCTTGGTCTGGAAAATGAAAGTAGGAGAAAGGTGTTAATTCAGTGATGTTATTTATTAAAAGTAAACATTGTTCTTTTTTCTTATTACAAACTCACAAAAGTAATAACAAATAATCCACACACTGTAACTAATCATCTCTTCTTAAAGTTTGATAACAGTCTCTGAAATTTGCTGGTATTAAATGGGACGGCTTATATCGACATTCAATAATAATGGTTCATTTTATACTCTATCGAGATTTCGCTGTTTTTTTATATCAACAATAGTTCAATTTTCCGTTCCATTAAAAGAGTATGTGTACTTGGTTACATCAAATTCTTCAATCTGGATCCAACTTACATCTCTGAATGAAAATTTCACATTAGTTGTAGTTTTTTTTCTAACGACCAGTTCAAGTTTTCTTGAACGTTCTTTAATACGAACAAATTTGTCCGCCATTCTTAAATAATATTAATATAATAATATTAAAAAGTGTCTTTTTCCTGGCTTCTGCCATGATTCATATTGATCCACCATATAAATTAGAAGTTGGTTTCTGATAGACTTTTCTACAGCTGCAAAACTTATTAGGTAGTGCCATAGACAGACAATATAAAAAATTTTATTTTGGCCATAAGTGAGCTGCCAATCTCTTCAGGACCGCGATTTCCTTGGTCTTCTGCCCAGACGTGGAAAAAACCTTTACCATTTGGTTGCTGTTTAAATGTATTCCTACTTGTAAATAGAAGGCTTTACTTGTAGAAATTTTCGGCAAAAGAAGTGTTTTTTGCAAATCAAATGTGAAGTATATGATTTTTTCATTTTTTTTCCTCGATCAGATTTTTGTACGTCAAAAGCCTTTTTATACTCTCCAGCATGTGCCTGATTCGAACGTACATCGCAAACATTTTTACGTTTTAAACGAAAGCTGAATTAACTCTTGAGTTAACATCTTTTTACCTATAATGCAGGAGTTAACACCTTTTAAAGTTTACAGATTGAAGTTTTTGATATAGTTAACACTTTTATGAATCTCTGTAACTAAGAACCATTTTAACACCTGTTTCCACTACAAATCTTAAAATCCGAAAAAATTGGACCAAGTCTTCAATTGATCCTTTTATTGAGAATTTATATCACGTAGATCATACTTTATTGTTCATGAACTTGATGATTGATCTGACTTTTTTGTAACCTGTTTCACATGATAATACCTATTTTGGCCTTAGCTCTTAATTTTTTTTTGTATGCCGCTACAATCGATCCTATTCAAAGAGTTCTGCTATTACACACTATGCAGATTCCACAATTGTTAGTTAGTTTAGTACGTCATTTATAAGTTTTAACACTGCCGTTAGTTGAAATCTGCAATTTGTCGCTCAAAGAAAAACATTTCTAAATTCGTCCGACGCGCCTTGGTCGAACACCGGATATTTGAAGTGTTTTTGTCTTTATGGCAAATTGTAATATTTATCTTGGGTGATATTAGAGCTTTGCCTCCCCACCATTGCTCTCACTACTCTAAGGACATATCGGTACACTCTCAGATAATATCCTATATCACGTTGCCTATATACAATTTAATTATCTATGTATTGTTCTTTTTCATCAATATGGCTTACTAAGATTCGTTGACTGCAGAAACCAATGCCATACAGTGTCACACTCGGTCATTGCTCATTAATCAAGCCTTTGCATATTGGTGTCGGCATATGATGGGCCAATGTGTAGAGAAGCTATACCAAAGCGCAGTTCTTGTGGTTAGTTATTTACAATTGCGTTCGTTTTCAGTTTGGAGATGCTGGACAAAGTAGAACCTCCTCTAGTACCTGACGGATACGGCATTTCCGTCGCTTATGCCTGTTTGATGGAAGTGATCCGTTCTCTACAAATCACAATCAGCCCTCAGCCTCAGCCAGACAGTGAGCCCTTACCACCACGTCAAGAAAACAGCCGAGAACTCAACAACCAGCTGATCAACTCCAGTTGGTGTGGACTTCTAGCTGCGTTGAGCCCACTTGTAGATGCCAGTACTGACGAGTCGATTACAGAAAATGTACTGAAAGCCATACAGACCTACACAGCCCTTTGTGGGCAGTTGGACCTTTATACACCCAGAGATGCCTTTATTACTGCTATCTGCAAGAGCTCGCTGCCTCCTCATTATGCTCTTATGGTGTTGAACACAGTTACTTCGGGAGTTAGTTTGAGACATGGTAAGAAAATTCAACTTATTACTTAGGGATCAGTATTTCAAAAACTTTATCCCAATAGTGCTTTATTGATCATCATAGGAATCCAAGACATTGAAAAAAGTCACTAAATTTAAGCTCTACGTTTATGGCTGTTTGAATATGAAAAGTATATTTTTTCAATTTTCAGGTCATCGGGAGGTTCAAGAAATGCCAATGGTTGTTCAATATGGAGAAGGCGACTACAGGCAGCAGGTAGTTGCAGTTGGTACCCCCTTACCAACATCTTCAGTTCCAGCAGGTACCCAACAAGGTCCAGTTATGCTAACTTCAAAGAACCTGCAGTCAATGAGAGCTCTGTTAAACCTAGCACACTGTCATGGAAGTATCTTGGGAACCTCTTGGCATCTGGTGTTGACCACTTTGCAACACCTTGTTTGGATCTTAGGTATGTTGAATCATAATTACCCATGCAGTCTAAGAAAATTGTTGTTAGAAAAAAATATGGAATTTCAAACTCCTATAGAATGATTATACGGAATTTTGGTTTTTTCTTTTATCCTGCTCATACAAGTAGTGCTATGTTGACAATATTTAGACAAGGCGAACGAAAGTATACCTCATTCGCAGTCTATTTACGCCCAGACAAAACACACCATGCCCAAAGAGAGATTGTACAGGTCCGTATTTTCCTCAATGGCCTTGGAATAATCTAACAAAATAAATCATTATTTTATAGAAAGAAGTGGATATACTTTTCACAATTCTTTATTCGCTGGAAGTACTTGAGTCATCGTCCGAATGGTTAATATTAACTATTACAGATTTAATTTGAATATTGATCATATTGTCCAGATCCCACATCTTTGTTTCGATTGTCTCTTGAACGTGACGGATACAATTTTTCCAATGGTTTGCCGTCACTGTGTTGACAGCTTCATATAACAAATTTTTCACGTTAGAAAATTTTAATGTTCTATTGTTGGAAGCCTCATAGTTTTTTATATTTGTCCAAATCATTTAAATGGGATTTAATTCGCAGTTATAAGAGGATAGCCTTAAAACGGTCTTATTTTGGTTTTTAGCCATTTCGTCAATAACATTAAGATCATATTTATGTTTGTGCTGTCTGACTAGAAGTTCTGCTTTGACCATATTTTCATTGAAACTAATGTCTTCTGATAGGACCCATTGTTGAATTTTCTGTGGACATTGTGCGAATTTTTTCTAGTTGTTGAAGGCAACCAGCAGAAATACGTATCGCTCGGGTTACCTATCCTATTTTCTGCTGCTCGAATTCACTTTCCTCTTTTTTGCGGATTTTCAGTTTCTCTCTTTCTATATATACACCTTGGGAAAAACCATTATTATACATTATGATGAGGAAGAGAGATGGAAATATACAAAAGTATGTAGGTGCGTGAAAGACAATCGATTGTAGGATCGTATCTGGCAGCGTCGGAGTGTGACGGACAACGGGGTAAAGTAGAAGAGTGATAAAAGAGAGAGATGGCAGAACGGGCGCTGGCGCCTACCGCTTAGACGGATGCGCTCAACAAATGCGATTTGTTTCTTCCATTCGCAGAGTTGCCGATACCAATATGTCATATTTCTAAGAAATCTAAGTCTACCCAAATTTCGGGAAAAATAGCTGCGGATTCCACATAAGAGTATTCCAAAAATGAAAAAAGTTCAAACTATTAAAATTGTATTAATGTTTCATGGTTCAAATCATATTTTTCAAATGTTTGTATATTGTTGTATAAATGATTTTGTAATCCCTATTCTTGTTGCCAGTAGAGATACAACAGTATTGAGAGAAATCATGGACCGCTAGATAGGGCTACAACTACCATATGACTATCAAATAGTAGTGATAAACACGGTTTGTTTATAGCACAGTTGCCTGGTGTGGCGAATTTGCGCCATAGGGGCGATTTGACAACTTTGAAGGGCAACTATAACGGTCACTGTGGTGCCCGGTATTCGGGAATCTGGCAATACCTGATGATTCCTAACGTTTATTACGCCATATTGTTTGCTGACTTGCGCAGTACAACATGACAATCAACGTGACTGAGCACCTGGTAACCCTGGTTTAAGGTGTTATATTTAAAGAGGTTGGGGCAGTTAGGTATCTAGGTCACATTTTTTAATGTATTTCGAGAAATCCGTAATGTTGAGTAAATACTAGATCACGTTTCTTGCTTAGTTTGCTGAAAATTCTGCAATAGACGTACATTTTGAGAAACAGAGATTTGGTGACGACAAAATCGTAAAAATATAACGCATTTTCGTAAAATAATTTCTTTGTTGAAAAGACTGTGGCTTGATGACCCATTGAACGAGTATAGTGTCCCGCTCCGCTTTGAATATTCGAAACACTATACTCCAGCAGCATTCAGCTTCAATGTTACCTTTATGAAGTTCTAACGTCTAGACCATGATGATTAAGAGCTTGAATGAATCAACACTTAACTCTAAATTCCCCACAATTCGGGAAGCTCTACTCAAATTGGCAACACAGCGTATCTGCCTATTATTCTCATTCGTGATACAGGTCTGCGGTTAACGGTAGGAAATATGTACGAATAGCGATGAAAGTAGACGAGCCGATGCGCTGTTGCCAAGAAATGATTTCCCATGTATAACAATGGTTTTTCCTAAGATGTATATATATATATATAAACGTTAAGGACAATTTCTTTTGCCTGAATATTCAAATGTCCCTTCTTGTCACGTTTTCGGGGAGGAGACATCACTGAAGAGGAAGCAGTTTCATCTGCCGTATCCTTAGACGACATGCTAACTAATAAACAAACGCTATGTGTGCAGCAAATATGAATAGCAACTGCCGGCGTCGGCGTGCCGGCGATACCCCGAGTCTGAGTTCTATCCTGTCGAATGCTGCACTTTTTCGTAGTTTTATGGCCGAATGACCAATAGCTATTGCAACGCTTAGGCGGCTGCCGCTTTGCCACGCTGCATCTTTGTTGTGCCAGGGCGTAAATGGACTACGAATAGGGTAAAGAGAGATCTAGAACCAATTTAAAGGGGCAAAATGGTACTTAACCATGGCCTGTTGTTGTTTATTTGACTAGAGATGGATGTGCTATTTGCCGCCAGATATTCTTTTTCGATGAGGGGGTTGGGTAGTCAAGCGGGTAGCGCGTCGAGCTGCTAATTGGTTGACTCGAACGCTCACGGGTTCGAATTTCCCCCTCGGAAGTAAATTTCTATACGCACCAGACTAGTTGCAAGATCAACAGGTACACCACATTGCTAAAGTTGATTGATGTAAGAACACTATGAAGGGACCGCTAAAACGAGGGCGATTCGCTCATAGATAAGTATTTTTGCTGTAAAATGTGGTAATCTAGATAACCAGTAATGCAATGCCGATCCAATTTAAAGGGACAAGGACACTTGTGTGTTTATTTCTGATAACTTTCTATCATATTACATAATTCGTGTTTTAAATTACCTATTTATATTTTAGGACTAAAACCATCAACAGGTGGTAGCTTGAAAGCAGGGAGAGTTAGCACCGATACAAACGCGGTCATAGCAAATTCGGTGATGGCTGATCTACCAGTATTGTCCACTATGCTCAGTAGACTGTTTGAATCTAGTCAGTATTTAGACGATGTAGCTTTACATCATCTGATAAACGCCTTGTGTAAGTTATCTCAAGAAGCTATGGAGCTAGCTTATTCTAACAGAGAACCATCTTTGTTTGCGGTTGCCAAACTCCTTGAGACTGGCTTAGTCAATATGTCAAGGGTGAGTACATTCCTGTCATTCCCATCGTTTTTGGTGTTTTCTAATCAAATAAAAACCATGACGGTCCAGAAGGGCCGGAAAATACACCAAGTTTAAATTGATCAGGTCTTTTAAAACTTTACGTTTAAATATTTCAGGACATATGTACATTGTACAGATGAATCTATACAGATGAAAACCTATTGTTTTGTTTTTTTTTTTTTCAAAAAAAACCTCTATTTTTACCAACCCTGTCGTAATCCTGGATTAAACTCGTACAGAAAATTATCTCCAGCCAAATACATCTTAGTAAAATGTCGCCCTTCATTGAGATACAGGATGTGGAAATTTAATTCTCGATATCGCTATTTTTCTACAGCTCAAGCTATTTTTTTGACATCAAGATGGAATTTGGGGTTTCTAGGGATGGAAAATACGATTAAATTTTACATTCCATTTTATAGGTGGAGGTTCTGTGGCGACCTTTAACCAACCATCTCCTAGAGGTTTGCCACCATCCCCACATTAGAATGAGAGGTTGGGGCGTTGAAGCTGTTACCTACCTTGTCAAGTCATCTTTGATGTTCAAGCACGCAGTTCCTCTGAAAGAAAACCAGAAACTTCAAACATTGTTGTTGGGACCTTTGTACGAACTTTCATCAGTGCCTCATGGGGATGTGAGGCAAAAGCAACTGGAGTGCGTTTTGCAAATATTGCACACAAATGGAGAGACATTGTCCCATGGTTGGCCATTGGTGTTGGGAATTATTGGGGCTGTCAATGACCAGCATGGGTAAGTTACTGTGTTTGGTATGAATGTAGCTTAAGCACGAAACGTTATGCTTTCGATGTAATAACTACTAAGAGGTTTACAGAGTTATTGGAACATTACCACTTTCAAGAGGAGTAATGTGCTAACTAACGTTAGTTGGCCGTGTTTTCATTTTGCCAGCATTAAAGACAGTTTTCTAATATTATCTAGATTGTTGATTCGAGGCTGATAGCTAAATAATAGGTTATATCAGCTATTTATATCCCTATCGACGAACCGAGACACTTTCCAGCATTTTCGCGACCTATGGAAGTGGTCAAGCCAGCAATCCCTGATGTCCGGTCTCGTAACTCTGGTTGCCTGGCGTAGATATTTCAAGGCGACCTTTCGCCGCTCGACGTCCCGATTACGAGGGCGTTACAATATAAAGTTTGCCTGGCAAAATGACATAATGATATCAACAGCGCGGTGGCGTAGTGGTAGACGCTATGAGTCTACTAATCAGTCGCCGTGAGCTGCGCGCGTTCGAATGGAATTTTTCTATTGGCTATGGATGTTGTGACTGTCCGTAGGTTTTAGAGAGTGTCAGACTGTGAAGCATGGAGATACCACCCGGCGGATCTCCAAGACGGGGCCAGAATGTGTGCATGTCTGCTCCCTCGCTGAAATCCGTGTGACGTTTCCCGTTTCAACTGTATCCCCCTACAGCCCCACAATTTTCCCGGGTATTTTATAAGCATACAAAAACAGGAGTGTGAGGAAAAGTAGTTTCCTAATAACTTAGGACTCAAACTTCCGTCTGTTATTTGGTATACATATGTTATGTTATGTTATGTTATTGAATTATTGATATTAATCATGTTTTTAGGGAAAACCTTATACGAATAGCCTTCCAATGTCTCCAACTTGTTATAACTGACTTTTTACCTGTGATGCCTTGGAGATGCCTTCCACTTTGTGTTGATACTGTTGCCAAGTTTGGATCGCAAACCCAAGAATTGAATATATCTTTAACAGCTGTCGGCCTTATGGTAAGAATCTTATTAAACATACAATATTTATTGTCTGGGGAAGGAGATTCACCGAATATTTTAGATACTTCCTCAGGTCGTATTTCAAAGATAGTTCGAAAGTGTGAAAATTTGGTTGAAAGTTATTTTGAGATCACGTTGGTTGGTTTGACGGGCCAAGAAATACTCCTTCGGGTACACCCATTTTATGGGAAAACTTTTTATTCGGTAACAAAGAATGAGAAAACCCGTTTTTTTGGGATTCAGTCGAAAGTGTTGGCAGGAACGAAAAAAATCTTCAAATAAGATTTTTAAGTATTTATGAGACCTACAAAATGAAACCACACGTAAAAAGATCCGACTAATAGTAGAAAAGTTATGGGTATCAAGAAATCTTGAAAAAAATTTTTCTCTTCGTAGCAAAACGTAATATACACATCCGCTTTATTTTATAATGTGTATAATAACGTATGTTTTTGGAATATGGTAGCGAATCTGATCAGTTACTCGCATATACGAAATGTTTGAATCAGTTTAGAAGAAAAAACGTAACCCGTCGTTTTTTGCATAAAAATAACAATTATCTTTCGGAATGGTTTGTGATTCACATCCGCAAAATAAAATTCGTGTATTTTGCTATAAAATGCTCTTTGAACGAACCGTGGATCTTGCTCAGTAAACTAGTATTGATGGCCGGAAGACAGGTGTTTTGGGATAAACAATTAGAAATTGTCAAAAACTACTTATCCAATCGACTCCATTTTGTTGTGGTTATTTAGAAGTATGAAACCTACGGATTTGAAGAATTTCAATGCGTGAAATTATCGTCGTATTAGCAACAAGTGCCAAAACCTGCATTTTGCCTCGGTTCTCGGTCATAACTTTTTCACTATTCAGGTGTGGTCTCACTTTGTAGGTCTTGTAAATACCTAAAAAGCTTATCTGAAGAGTTTTTTCGTTCCTGCCAACATTTTTGATTGAATCCCAAAAAACGCGTTCAACTGAAGGTTGTGTTAAAAGGACCAAATAACTGACCTTCGGTTGGACCTCAATTGTAAGACAGGTATCCCCTTTCAGTGGAACATTTCGGACTACTTTCATCAAAACCAAGGGAAACTGAGCCAGACATTAACAGACGACAACACAGTGCTTCCCGATTTTCCTGGAACTCCGAATATGCCCAGCTTCGATAAGCTCTGGATGTGCCTATATGCGAGACTGGGTGAGCTCTGCGTAGATATCAGACCTGCTGTCAGGAAATCTGCAGGGCAAACCTTGTTCTCCACCATCTCAGCCCATGGCGGACTCCTGAAACAGCCAACTTGGCAGGCGATACTTTGGCAGGTCCTTTTCCCTTTGTTGGACAAGGTTAGGAGCTTATCGAATTCTGCGAGTAGTGAAAAGGTTGATGCTGGAGGTATGTCTCACGTTATTTTCTGGATAAAAAGGATCAAGGTCTATAATAACTCGGTTATTATGAAACTTTGTTGTATGTGTTACTAGAAAAATAATAGGGCACAAAACATACCGGCACCCTCATTACGTAGCTTAAAAAATGGTAGTGTGTCTATTTTTATGACGTTTTGTGGTTTTACCACAAAATGACCTAAATAGTTGTTCATATCCTTCGATAATAATGCCTCACTAAACTACTAGTCACTTCTGAATTACTTTAGTAGTAAATAAATATAACCTTTTTTAAAATTGTCATGCAATCTTTTTAACCTATTTTGTGGTAAAATTATCGTAATTGTAACGTAAAATGTTTGTTGGGATTAGGCGCAGAATGAACCAGCGACACACTAACTAACCTAGTGTACAAGTTAACATATTGATTTTTTGACATATAGATTTTTTTACGTAATAACCCTGCAGAAAGGGGTTACAGTGGAATTGGATGAATTTCTAATATAATGTGCACCATGACCTGATTAAAATATCCCATGGGAGCAAAGTTCGATAATGGACAGTTTTTAGTATATCGAAAATCAAACTTAAAGAATATAGGCGTCTGCCCTCATGTCTGTCATAGAAGCCACTGTAGAGGTGTAGCAGCGAAGACGTACCCGTCTCGACTTGTTAAACATTTTTGACATGCAGTCTGTCTTAAACAGGGCGTAAACAACATTAAAATTCGAACTTCGACAGGTACATGCACTGCTACGTTATCTCTAATATATATTCATTGGAAAACTGATTAAAAGAAAAAACGCCGAGACACGTCAAAAGGTTTGTCAAGGGGGACAACTTTTTAACCAAAACCTACTTCACCCCCTTTCACCCTCTGCCATCCCCTTAAAATTAATTGATTTCAGATAGCCTCATAGAAAAAAGTCTAATGGCGTCAAATCAAGAGATCTAGCAGACCATTCTATAGGCCCTCTTCGCCCTATCCATTTATCTGGAAACTCGTCGTCTAGCCATTGCCTAAACGGAAGAACGTAGTGAGGAGGAACGCCATCTTGCTGGAAATATATCAAGTATAGGGTTTCCATCCTCTTCGATTTGGTTTTCAATGGTTTCAGTGATAAGCGGATTGATGGTATTTTTCAACATATCCAAATAAATGTCTCCATTCAAATGTCCATTAATAAAAAATGGCCCAATCACTTTGTTTCCTAAAATGGCTGCCCATACATTTAATTTTTTGGGGGTGCTGGGATGCCCTTCTTCAAAAGCAACAGGATTTTCATTGCTCCAATATCTGCAGTTATGCCTATTAACAAATCCATTTAGATGAAATGTACATTCATCACTGAAGCAGATATTCTTCATTCATTTGTTCACAAAACTCAATTCGTCTATCGAAATCATCGTCGTAACTCTTGCAATATTTACATCTAGAATGGATGAAGTTTAGTAACTGCGTGTACAGAGCCTAATGAAATACCAGTCGCAGCAACAATTTTGCGTAATGAAGTATTAGGATTTATTCCAAAATGACCCAAAACTTCAACTTGAGCGGCTTCGTCCAGAACTATCCGATGATCACGTTTTTTATTTGCAACAGATCCAGTTTGAGTAAAAGGTCCAAAACATATCTGTGCGAAGTTATCTTTCCCGGATATCAGGCGTTAAACGTGACGGCAGTTTGCCGATCACATTGATCTTGGGCACCATAAATTAGAATCATTTGCACTCTTTCGGCTAGTGTGTAAACCATTTTGGAAGTAAAAACTGAATCAATAAATTAATTTTCACTATCCCAAGATGGTCACAAAGGTAACTGACAGCAAACTAAATTCTTTTCCTTAGCAACAAATAACTAAACAGGTATAACAATAAATACAGTTCGCCCAGGATATCTGTGGTGATGAAAAGAATCCGGAAAGAAAATTCGGGTTGTTATTTGGTTGTTGCCACGTCTAATCTTCCGAATTACTGTTTATGTTGGTAGTTTCCGTTTTAAATTATAAACGAATTGTAGATTTGACAAACCCTAACGGGCAACATTGTGAACACTTATTGTAATAAAAAGTGATATATTCGTGCGTTTTTTTTTTCTATCTGAACAAATTAAGATAAATAAAGATTTTCCTAATTTTCTCGAAAACGAATCGACTGATTTTAAAAAATCAAACGTCAAAAGGGACTTCGAAAGACCTTTCAAACAAGATATTAATTGATATCCCTTGCTATTTAAAATTTTTGAGGTGATGACCCTGGGGAGCCGAGAGTGAAAGAGGGTGAAGTAGTTTTTGGTTAAAAAGTTGTCCCCCTTGACAAATCTTTTGATGTGTCTCAGTATGCTTTCTTTCAATCAGTAGTTTTCGATAGATCCGTGGGGGGAAGTTCTCAAATGAACACCGTGTATAGAGGCTTCTAAGCTGAGTTGGAACATAATAATAATAATAATAATAATAAATTGCTTTTATTGCTCATGTAAGTACAGAAAAAGAAAAAGTACATAAATCTGATGCAGTGAGCAAACGGCAACGTTCGCTTGATTGACAACCATTAGTTGTCACATAGGTTTACTTTTTACGTGCAAGATTTTTGAGTTGAATATGAAGATAAGAGAGGATGGACCGTCGCATATTGAATATCAATATGAATTATATGGTGTAGAGATGTGTTCCAATGTAGGCTGAAATTGTAACTCACTTGCTGTACGATGCCATCAGCTGTAACATCAGATGTCTGTATCCCTGGCCTTTGTTCCAACCTCCATATCGAACTTTGTACTTCCCGAATGTTTTGTACTGCATTACTTGCTTATCTTTACAAAAACTGTATAACTTAAAGAACACACTGTTATCGATAACAAATTAGTTTTTTTTAGGAAACATCTTGATCCACCATACAAGGAATACAGCTCAAAAACAGTGGGCTGAAACCCAGGTACTGACCTTGTCTGGAGTAGCCAGGGTTTTCAACACAAAACGCCAACTGCTACAAGCGTTAGGCGATTTTCCAAGAGCCTGGTCGATTCTCCTAGAATTTATTGAAAATGCTGCCTTGAGCAAAAATAATGAAGTATCCATAGCATCGTTAAAGTCCTTCCAAGAAATATTATTCATCAGCAAAAACCAAAATAATGACAACAAGTTTGCTGAAGACAAAGAAATATGGGCAGTTGCATGGAAGGTGTGGGTGAAAATTGGAACTGAAATCACAATTCCTGTAGCAGAATATGAAGGGCAAGAAGAATTCTACTTGCCAAGTCAAGCATTCCTCACAGCTTTGGTACAAATATTTCCAAGTGTATTCCATCATATCAAGGGCAACTTCACCCTGGATGATTTGAAACAGCTAGGTAAGAATAACAAAGACAAATACTTTAAATAATTTTGTGGTTCTGTAATTTGACGATTTTAAAAAAGCTGTCTAGTAGAAGTTCAGAAAACGTATTACGCAAGGTGTTATAGCATATAATTAGGAAAAATTAGGCCGCAAAAATATATAGTTTATATAAACGTCCTGAAAGTTCGCCGTTTCTAGACTTTGTTCAGTGAAAAATATTACGCCACTGGTTTTTACAAAAATAAATGTCATGTTCTCAAACCCATTATTGATTCTGCTTCAAAAGTGACTCATGGAGTTCTTTTGTTTAGTATAAAAAGTATCAGCTCATTTTTTTTGTAACGATAAATAGTCCTGGCTAATAGTACATTTGATCCAGGTGAAAAAAGACATTTTCGTTAGAGTAAGTAAAATTTTTGCGATTTTTAGCTGTTTCCCACAATTTACTCAAAATGTTGAGGGCGTACGTACGTAGTTGGGTCTAATCAACCACTTTTGTTAGTATGCCAGTTAGTAGTGAAAATATAATTTTTTTGTTCCTGAAACAAAAAAATTCCAAAGGCGCAATTTTTAAGCAGTTATTATTTTTTCCAAAAATTCATAGCATCCTATTTTTACTTAAACATATAGACTTATCGGTGCGATCGCCACTGATGTAAGTGGTTTAGAAAACAATTTTTTTGATGTTAATGTGGCTTTTGAATGAACTACTAAAAATCATTAAGATTAACCACCTACTGTGGTAAATATATTTTACATTCCTGGACGTACAGTAGCGGACAAAAGCTTAGAAACATTATTAGTAATTTTCAAAAAGTGACCTAATTTTTTATTCTTTATCATTAAGGAATATTTTTATCTCATATAGTTTAATTACAGTCTTGAGGATACAAATGACATTTTTTCTTGCTGTGGTACTACAGATTAGCATTAAAATACAATATTATTTTATGACCAAAAATGAGACGATAAAAGTATGGAAACATATTTTTTATTACAAAATTAAATACAATAACTCTACAAAAAGACTTAAAAAATACTGTTTAGCCAATATTTGCTAGCATAGCCTTTAGCATGCAACACTGCCTTACATCTGCTGCTCATAGAAGACACCAATTTTTTTTAATTTTTAATCAAATAAATCGTTATTATTTTAAAAAGTTTTTCTTGCCAGTTGTCTTTTAACATGTTCCCAGAGATGTTCTATAGGGCTTAGGTCCGGGGATTGCGAAGGCCATACAAGAAAATTAACATGTTTGAGTCTTAACCAGTCCTTTACGAATTTTGAGGTATACTTGGGGTCATTATCTTGCTGAGATGTCCATCGTAAAGCTATTTCTTCTTCAGCAAAAGGGAGCATGTCCCAGAACTAGAAAAATAGCCCCAAACCATGATGTTGCCTCCACCGTGCGTAACTGTTGGGAACTGATACTTTTTGTCAAATCTTTTTGTATTGAAAGAAGTTAAATTTGCTTTCATCGCTCCATAAAACTGTATTCCATTGTTGTTCTGTCCAAATTAGATGAGTTTTAGCAAATTCAAGCCGAGTAATACGATTTTTTTTTTCGAAATCAGAGCCTTTTGCACTGGACGCTTACCAGAAAGCCCAAAATCCACCAAGCGTCTCTGCAACGTTCTGACAGAAAGATTCTCGGCACCCTCTTCTACGATTCTTTTGAAAATCTGTGTGGCTGGCATTCGAGGATCTTCATGGGACAAACGTTTAATGTAGCAATCCAAAACATAATCGGTTTTTTCAGTCTTCCGCACCTCCGCGTTGCTGTATTCTTGATATTTACTAATAATTTTCTAAATCGTCCCTTTGTTCATTTTTAATCTTTCAGAAATGTCAACATTTCTGACACCACTTCTAAATAATTCATTTACTTTGTCTCTTAAATCTCTTAAATTCTCTTACTTTTGCCATTCTCAGTGATGTTAATATTTACCGCACGCAATATCAGAGTATCATAGAATGAATAAATAGGACAAAACTGAAATTTGAGTATTGATAAGATAAACCTTGTATTAGTACTGGAGCCCAAGGTAGACTTTAATATTTATATAATCTCTTCCTTCACAATTTTTTCCAAACTTTTGTCCGCTACTGTTTGTTTATGTAACGTTATATATATAAAGTGCTAACAATCTCGTGATCACCTCCTCCTAGTAAAATAAAATTGATCCAATGAACTAACTACTTGATTGTATTTTTGTTTTCAGGTATGGTGCTTTCAAACACAGTCAGTGTTCCCTTCTATGGTGAATCAATGCCTTACATAATCTCGGCATCATCAGATCTGAGCCTAACTCCATTGAATGACGGGGTGTTGCATGTTATGGAGCTTCTACAAAAAGAGGCTATGCTCAGAAATAACTCAAAAATGATCCCCGAGATATTCAAGCTGCTCCTAACTTTCGCAAAGTTCACTTGTTCTCCACCGGTATTGTACAAAGACAACAAAGGAGGGAAGCTCACAGATGTGGTTACCATGAACTATGTGCCCTTTGGAGAAAAGTCGATCACAATGGTTGTGAAATTGTATGAAAAAACGGCAGAACATACAGAAGTAATCAATGCGAATATCCTCACGGATATAATAGCTACATTGCACACCCCTTTGGCGTTGAAGTATAACTGTGTTTCTGATACTATTTGGAAACTAGCAGCTAGCAGTCTTATCACAGTCTTGAAGGTTGGACTGAAGGTGGCAAGGGTGCATAGTAACCAGTTCTCGTCGATGTGGAGTGAACTCTATAATACATTGAATGATTTTCTATTTCCCACCACGTAAGTAAAAGATGACGTCAAGTCGACTGACTATACTCCCACGCCTTCGTTCAAAATCACAAATTTCAAAGTGAAACTTAAGTACGATGTATGATTAAGCTCTATATCTCAACTATATAAAATAAACCTATCATATTTCTGTTTCAATGGTAGACGTATGGAAGTTATGTAATACAGGGTGGACCAGAAAGACGTACGAATTGCAAAACCGTGACAGGCACGCGGGTGCGGGGATAAGTAGCTTGGTGCTCGGAAATTCAGTTGCCATGGAGCGTTTCACCAGTGAGCATCGTGCGTTCTGTGTTAAGGATTATTACGAAAATGGAGATTCGTGCTCTATTGCGCAGCATCTGCTTCGCTCCGAATTTAGTAAAAGTGTCAATACCCAGGGTCAATACGAGGGAAACTGAAGAGCATCTGTAAAGCATATTTTGCTAAAAGACCTTAAATTGCACCCATATAAACTTCAACTAGTGCAGGAATTGAAATCGCAGGACCACCATCTACGCCGTGCGTTTGCCGAAAGAATGTTAGGGCACTTTCCAAGTTTGACCAATACTCTCTTTTCTGAAGCTCATTTTCATTTGAGTGGATTTGTCAACAAGCCAAATTACAGGTACTGGGCCGCAGAAAATCCCAAATTAAAACACCAACGACCATTGCATTCGCGTTTTTCTTTTCACAACTTCAACATTTTGAAGCCTACCATAGCAGGACCTGGTTTCAACAAGATGGCGCGACGTCCATACCGGCAACGAGTCTTAAGCAGTTGCCCAGCTCAAGCATAACATTTCCGAGATGTCCGCTAGCCCAAGAGCGATGTGCCAGCGAGTTTTCACTAATTTGAAGTCGCGATTCGACGAGTGCGTACGTCTCGATGGCTAACATCTCAATGATGTTATTTTTAAAAAAAAAATCCATGTGCATACTTTATTAGAAATATAAATTACACTGGTGAACAAAATTAAAATAATTTTTTGTGACATGGTCAAAACAAGATGCTTATTATGTGAAGCGTACCAAAAAATCCGGAAGGCAATCGATTTTTTCCATCACCCACGGTTTTCTTGCAATAAGGCATTTTATTTGCTGCTTATGCTCGTGAAATATAAGGATAAGTGGTGTAAGAGTACTAATAAACACTCGAATAAACATTAATCTCAGAATGTTGTTGTCGATGTTTTACGGCGATATGTTGCTCCTGAAGCATCTCTTAACAATGACCAGCAATAATCAGCAAGCAAATTGACACTCCATTTGCCTTGACACCGTTTTTCCATAGCAGAAATGTCTTGGTGGAACCGTTCACCATGTTCATCATCGAGATGAGATTCCAAAAAGTGAATTTTTAGAAACATGTTACATCCCATTCCTATATGAGCATTAATTAGTTCACTCACAATATCTTTATAACTTTTCGCGTTCACATTGCCTAAAAAAATTGCAGTAACTGATTTAAAGCATTCCAAGCTCGTAATTCAGTTTCATTTAGAGCACTGTCAAATACAGCATCCTCCGTATTTGTGGACCCACAAATATGCCCTCTTTAATTTTTGCCTCACTAAGTCTCGGAAATGTTTTTTTTAAATGCAGAAACCATCTTCCATTTCGATCCATAGCTTTCACAAAATTTTTCATCAGTTCCAACTTAATATGCAAAGGTGGAAGCAACACGTTTTGGGATCATGAGTGTTTCATGAGCAATGTTTTTGAGGCCCAGAGTTAATACCTGACGTAGTGGTCACTCCTTCTGTTCATAATGACGATGTCGTGCACGACTGTCCCATCCACAAAGAAAACAACAATATTTGGTATATCCAAGTTGCATTCCAAGAAGAAGGGCTATTACCTTTAAATCTGCACATATGGCCCATCCATATTCATTATAATGGATATGCTCTAACAGAACTCGCATATTTTCATATGATTCCTTCATATGAACTGCGAGCGCTATAGGTAGAGATGGAAATTTATTACCGTTGTGTACCAATACCGCTTTTAAACTAAGTTTAGATGAATCAATGAACAGGCGCCTATCATTTGGATCATGTTTCTGTAATGTTAACATCACCGTGGAGAAGATTCTATCCTTTTAATCTTGACGTTAAAAGTGCTGACTGGGATTTTGACAGATTTAATTCTCGAACTAAGTCATTAAGTTCACCCTGTGTGATCAAATGCGGCGCTATTGAACATTCTGGCAGATCAAACGAAGGATCGGAAATTTTTACGCTTTCTGTACCATCACTTTCAGAATCGGTGGATTCGACTTTTGCATCCAAAGACCAAGATTCTGGTGGAACTGGGACAGAAAGTTGATTACTATGCTTTACTGGCCACAAAGCTGATGGTAAATTGAAATACTTAACAGTATGTTTCGATTTTGGTACAGTACCTTTAATATTTGTGAGGCAAAAATAGCAATCAGTAGTATCTTCTCTCGGTTCTCTCCAAACCATTTTTACCGCAAAGGGCATTTTACGATTGTTACCTCTTAACCAACCTGTTAACAACGTAACACAAGTCTTACAACATATAAGAGGAGCCCATACTTTATCTTGGTCGCCATCTTTAATTCCAAAATAAAGTTCGTATGGTTTCAACACATGGGGAGTAAAAGTACGTTTTTGGGATATAAAAGTTAGCTCTTCGTACACATAACAAAAACTATTCGCACTATTTACACAATTTCTAGGCATTGCCGATAAAGCTAGTCTCGATCACAATAAACTAAAAACAACGCACAGTTTTAACCTAAATTAACAGTACTCAGAATATCTCAGTACTCTTCAACACAGAAAACGTAACTGACTCGGCTGCTATTAGTCTACTAATAAACGCAATATGCTCTCTAAACATAGAGCTCGCAGATAATAAACAGGAATAGACAGGTCGTAACATTATATATGTACGTCATCGCATAAACGCCTAGAAATGCAGCAATATGAGATGTTACGTTATTGTAATTCATAAAAGTAGATGTTACCGAATATCTCTGGGTGATAAAAAATTCTGTTTTTAGATTTGATTTAAGGGTCTCAACATACATAAAATACACCCAAAAATTGTCATGTCACAAATCCTGTGTTTATCAGTGTTACCTTCCCTATGGTTTGTAGTTTTTTCTCTATGATTTAAAATCCGCTCAACTTAATGGCCTACCCTGTATTAGTGCCTTCTTAACAAGAAAACCTCTTTCACTCATACCAAAGATGCAACATTTACAACCATGTACCCCCTACAACTTCAAGTCCCAATTTTCAACCACTCCATAAAATTTTTGAACATGATCAGGGATACCAGAAACGTCGAAGCACTATGTTTCAGCGATTTTTGTTTCCTTCCGTAACGCCGCCGTCACACAAGCTTTTTCATCCCTAGCATAGTAGGCACGTTGTGTCAAAATATCGTCAAATCTGTACTTTCCAAGTTATAAAGGGGTTAGAGATGGGAGATCAGACGACAGACAGGCCTTAGTCACTGTGTCTGTCAAGAAACATCCAGGTGTCTTCCCACCGTGTTGTGACATTGTCGCAAAGTTTGTCAGGTAATTACGCCAACGGCTGTTGTTTATTTGTGATTTATTTTCGTTCTTTTTGCCTCAATATTTGCATTGTTATTTTATAAAGACAGTTTTTTTCAAAACTTTGAGGTGTCCTTTTGAGCATTTTTCTAAAATCCCGAAACCTCTGGGTCGACAATCAAAAGAATTCGTCATTTCTTTGACGAAATATTTTGAGACCGAACGAGATCAAGGAGCTCCATTATTGCCTTTACAGTTCGTAAGAGAGGTATTAGGTAGTAAAAAGAATTCATACTAGCTCTAGCGTTTACAAAACATACGCTCCGTACTGGTGGTTGCGGTAATGCATCGAAGACAAAGTAGATTTTGTAAAGCGTCCTGGGATCTAGGAGTTTTAATTAATGTGGCAACCATGTGGGTTACTTTCAGTATTTGGCGTTGTAACGTAACTGCTTTGATCCAGTGAATAAACTACTTTACAATTTCATTTAATTCCTCATTCCTCACTGGCCAGTTTGTTTCTAACGTCCCAAAGTATTTCATCCTGAGTAACCGTATTATTATTGTTAGATTTGCTTACATTTTCTGTAATTGCCTTTGACTGTTGTCTAGTATTCGTCTTTGTTTTATTGTCAGGATTTCCCAGGCATCAGCGGTGGCGTAGTGAAATGTTTCTCTTGGCTATGGATGTTGTGATTGTCGGTAGGTGCTGGACGGTCTCGACTGTCAAACGTGGAGGTACCATCCGGCGGATCTCGTAGGCGGGGTCAGAATATGTGCATGCTGCATGCACATGTGTTCCCTCGGTAGAGTCCGTGTGGCGTTTCCCCTTTCCCCTGTATCCCTCTATAGCCCCACGGTACTCCATGGGAGCTTAGGCCTTAGGCCTTCGTGATAGTTGGAGTATAAAAAAAAGTGAATCATGTTCTTCACTATGAGAAGATGTATGTATGAATCTTCCTATATCCAGACAAACTTCAAATACTCTTAAGAACACAAGCAACATTTCACGTGAAGAGGACAGCGAAAAAAAGTGAGGTTTTAAAATTCGTTCGTACTGAACCTGTTTGTACATCTAGTATGTGTGAAAGAGAGAGCACGATTTTTTTAGTCGCAAGTGCATTTGCTAAGTTACGACAAGATCTATATGAAATTGGGATTTTTTTCATCTTTGTGCATTGTGCCCGTAGCTTCGCCAAAACTGGATGAATTCTCAAAACCCACAAAGTTTTTTCGTACTTAGCATAGCACTAATATGGGGTACATGTTATGTACCAACCTAAAAACTAAATATTCTGTGCTCGTATCGCGCCAAAACATTTATTTTTTTCTTATGCACAAGCAGCAATAAACTGCTTTCTACACTGTTGGCAAATACTGTTTTAGGTGTGCCCCAGGAGACAAAGGCTTGGATGAAATGGTGTCAGACGAAGCAACAGATTGCCAAATAATTGAACTGCTCCGTACCGAAGTGCTACCATACTCTAAAACTATTCCTAAAGACTTCATCATGCAGGTTGTGATCCTCCTTAACAAAGGGTCTATCCATTCAGCAACGAATGTCAAGACCGACGGAGATATTGAACTATCTCTAAGAGAAGAGTTTGCGAAGACATGTTTCGAGACCTTGTTGCAGTTCTCTTTGATAGACGGAGGGAACAGTGGAGTCATGATGAATGGTGATGATAAGAACATTGGAATTGCTGGACATCTCGCTGTCACCTCCTTGTTACATCGATTCCAGGAGGTTCTGAAGAAGTACATTGACGACGAGAAACTCAGCGGGAAATGCCCGTTACCAAGGTAACTTTAGTACATTATTATGCCAACCAAGAAATCTTATAAAAGAACAGAGCCAGAAAAACAGTGGCAATATTTTTATGAATATAAAATGTAATAATAAACGACTTTTATTCAGGCGAAGCTTAGCTACAAGCTATTCTACCACTTAACCATTGAAAATAACTATCACTAGAATATTGAAAACAATTTTAACAAAATATTCTTCCAAAATTTAAAAAAAAAAGTACATATTGCATAGAACGTACATAAGAGTGTTCAAAAAGAAAGAAAAAAAGGATTTATATAATATGCAGAAATATGAATGAACTATAATACTAGCGGTTTCAGATTTAAGCATCAAAGGTAATTTGTTTAATTTGCTTTTTGACATTATTGAAATCAAGATGTTTAGCAGTCGATGGTAATGCATTATATAGATTGATGGCATTATAGGTAAAGCATTCATGAAATAGAGAAGTTTTGTGTTAAAGTGTCAGTGAATCGAATGTTTCTTGAATGGATATATATTCACGAGATATTAATTTATTTTTAAAAAATGAAGGAATCAAAGTATGTAGGAGTTTGTGAACATAGCATAATAAATGAAGAACAGAACTGCGAGCGCTATAGGTAGAGATGGAAATTTATTACCGTTGTGTACCAATACCGCTTTTAAACCAAGTTTAAATGAATCAATGAACAGGCGCCTATCATTTGGATCATGTTTCTGTAATGTTAACATCACCGTGGAGAAGATTCTATCCTTTTAATACTGACGTTAAAAGTGCTGACTGAGATTTTGACAGATTTAATTCTCGAACTAAGTCATTAAGTTCACCCTGTGTGATCAAATGCGGCGCTATTGAACATCCTGGCAGATCAAACGAAGGATCGGAAATTTTTACGCTTTCTGTACCATCACTTTCAGAATCGGTGGATTCGACTTTTGCATCCAAAGACCAAGATTCTGGTGGAACTGGGACAGAAAGTTCATTACTATGCTTTACTGGCCACAAAGCTGATGGTAAATTAAAATACTTAACAGTATGTTTCGATTTTGGTACAGTACCTTTAATATTTGTGAGGCAAAAATAGCAATCAGTAGTATCTTCTCTCGGTTCTCTCCAAACCATTGGTACCGCAAAGGGTAGAAATATGAATGAACTATAATACTAGCGGTTTCAGATTTAAGCATCAAAGGTAATTTGTTTAATTTGCTTTTTGACATTATTGAAATCAAGATGTTTAGCAGTCGATGGTAATGCATTATATAGATTGATGGCATTATAGGTAAAGCATTCATGAAATAGAGAAGTTTTGTGTTAAAGTGTCAGTGAATCGAATGTTTCTTGAATGGATATATATTCACGAGATATTAATTTATTTTAAAAAAATTAAGGAATCAAAGTATGTAGGAGTTTGTGAACATAGCATAATAAATGAAGAACAGAACGTGCGTCGAAGTCTCTTCCTCTACCCCGCAGCATTCACACAAGGGATTCTCAGCCACCCCCATCAAGAGCAGGTGGCACCTTAACGTGTTATGGACAGACAACAGTCCCACCAGCAACCTTAGGTTGGCTCTATCCAAAGATAAGCAGAAACTTCCTTCCTTAGCGCTGGGCCCTACAATGAGTTCCCGTGCCTGACGGAGATGATGAGTGTTGTCTTGCAATCTACTTCTCCATCTTCCTCCTAACTCTTTGCGATGGCTCAGAACCAACGAGCTTACTGGCTGATCCTGTTTTCGCCAGAGCGCCCGGTACTACTAATACCGGATGCGTCGCTGCTAGACAGTCCGGACTCTTCCCTAACGGGCAGTCTCGGGACCTTTCACATCGAGTGGCCGTCGGCGATCATGCTCTCTTCTGCTGCTCTGTCAATGAGTTTTGGTCTTCAGACTGAACTAGATGCAATCTAAGCAATTTAAATCTTTGTTATGTTTCAGGTATCGGCTCTCCGAGATTTCCTTCGTTTTGAAAGCACTGACCACTTTAATCATATCGATGAAAAAAGCAACGACTGTTAAAGGTGAGTAGATTCAACTTTTCAATTTAGTATTTTTTATATATTATTCCACATATACGAGGTTTGCCCGAAAAATACGTATAAAAAATTCGGGGCGCAGTGTCAAGCTGTTGTGGAGGGGTGGTCCGGTGGTTCCCTCTCTCTATGCAATCCCATCTATGCTCAGTGCGAGCAGGAGTGCTCTGCGAGTAAGAAGGATTTACGTGTGCTTGTTGAAAGTAACCCTTTTTTTACCTGGGGTCGGCACGGAGCTCTATCTGATCGAGGAACAGCGCAAAGCTAGGCAAGAATGGCCGTGAGATTTTTGAGTGTTTGAAACAATTTTACGGAGACAATTCTCCGAAGGAACCAACCGTCAACATGTGGTTGAAAAGGTTGCGGAAAGGTCGAGAAGTTGAGCAAGGCTCAGGACGCCCCTCCACATCGAGCTCTGAGGGAAATGTTGAACGAATTCGGGGATGTGTTCTTAAAGACCGTCGATTGACAGTTAGAATGATAGCTGACGAACTGTCAAACGAAACGTCCACGAAATTCTGACAGAAAAACTTGAAATGAATAAATTGTGCGCGAAAATCTTTCCGAAGCTCTTGACTCCAGAACAGAAAGTAAGGAGGGTTGCTGTGTGGTTGGAAGCAGAGGAAAGGGGGGACTTTCTCAACTGGGCCATCACGAGAGACGAGTCTTGGTTCTACGAATTCGATGTGGAGCTGAAATCTCAAAGCATGGAGTGGAAGCAGGCAGGGGAACCGAGAACAAAAAATTCGAAAAATCAAGGTCCAATGTGAAACAATGCTGATTGTTTTCTTTGATTCTCGGGGCATTGTTCACCAGGAATTTGTCCTTTCCGGCAAGACAGTGAACAGAAATTTCTACGTTGAAGTTTTGCGTCGTCTCAGAGCTCGTGTGGACCGAGTTGCACAAGGGGGCAGGTGGATCCTTCGTCACGACAACGCGCCTGCTCACACGTCTCGTTGTGCGTGAGTTTTTGATCCGAAGCTCAATAACCGTGACAGAACACCCGCCTTATTCACTCGATTTAGCCCCTTGCGTCTTCTTCCTGTTCCCAAGATACAAAATCGTGCTTCGGGGCCGGCACTTGGGGGATAGACATACGTTTCGGCAGCTGACCTAGTTACCTAGATTGCTGGGTAGCCAACTCAATGGACAATTTTGCTACATCTGCTATTTTATATCTATATTTTATATAAAAAAGAAGCTTTGAATAAAAAATTGAAGGGTACGAATGGAGATATATAAAATTTGAGGCGTAGCAATGTTTGCCAACAAACTAAAAAAAGCTGTTATTTACATTTTGCGTCGCCTGGCGTCAGCTTTGTAGGATAAAATACTTTTTGAATACGGAACTTCTTCCAACAATTGGGAAAAAACATTTTTTTTATTATATAAATATATACTAAGTGACATATAAATCCGAACACCCAGTTTAAATGGTTTTATTTTAATAAAAGTTGGTGAATGTATTTATCTTACTGTAAATAACAAGTGAAAAAATTTTCAGCCTTATCAGTTGGACATTCCAGTTTTTATACTGCTTTTTTTTAATTCACTAACGCTCTAAAAATGAATATTTCAGCCGCAGTAAAGAATCAACGTTGGCGGATTTTGGTTCTTGACATCCTTTACGATCGGTTACGATGCCTAGAGTACGGAGACCTGTACGATTTCGTCAACTTAGTGAGTTTGATAGGGGCCGTATAGTGGGACTTCGGGAAGCTGGACTTTCTTTTCGGGCAATCGCAGTTAGAGTGCAAAGAAGTGTAGACACTGTGGTTAGGTGTTGTCAGGCATGGCTTCGAGAAGGCCATACGCAAAGAGCAAGGGGCACTGGACGCCGCCGTAGAACAACAGACCGTGAAGATCGCCGCCTAAGATTATTGGCCTTAAGGGACCGTTTCTCCACTACCAGGTCGATTGCAAATGAATCGTTTGCAGAACACGGAAGACCTATTGGCATGCGAAGTGTTTACCGACGAATGAGAAGTTTTGGCTTGTTTTCATACCGGCCACACTGGGTACTCCCTTTAACTGGAGAACACCGACGTAATCGCCTTGAGTGGTGCAGACAACGGTGACTCTGGGATCAGGAATGGAACAGTATTGTCTTTAGTGACGAGTCTCGATTTTGTTTAGGCATACACGATGGTCGTGCCAGGGTTAGAAGGCGACGTGGTGAAAGGAGGAATCCACAGTTTTTTGTTGAAAGACATGTTCATCACACTGTCAGAAGCATGCCTAGGCACGTTGGAGAATGCGTAGCACATCAGGGTGCATCCACACATTATAAAAGGTCAAAGGGCTTTAAAGCAGTGCAATCACTTTCAAATTTTTATCATTTACTTATTATGCTTCATTAAGTACTTATACAAAATTTTATTAAAATAAAACCATTTAAACTGGGTGTTCGGATTTATATGTCACTTAGTATATTTATTAAGTATTTGATCTAAAATTGCATGATCATTAATAGGAGAAGTTCGATTTTCATTTTCTCTACTATTTAGTAGTGGCATATGGTTTTTTAGTGACTGCATTCGCACTTGGGCGAAGAAAACCCTAGAAAACCTCTACGGTCACTGCTAAGATTAATTGTATCAGCTGAAGAAAAATCAAGTCGTTCCCCAATTCTGGCTTCATTTGTACAATCGAAAATCGCCAGCATGCCACAGTTATTAACCTAAGTAAAATAGCATTGAAGTAACGGTTTATCCGAGGGTCATTTTTTAAGTAAGAACCGTTTTGTAATCCAGTCAGAGAAATTTTATTTATGAATGTAAATTGTATTACAAACTAAAATATAAACATTTTTTCATTTTTCAACATAGCTACCATAAACATTCGAACACAAGTCAAGCCGTGGCACCAGTTTTTGTGTTAATGTAGCATCTGAAACTTATCCTGCTGTTTTCATGACGACTATTTCCCTCGTCTTAATTTCTACCAATCACAAACGCGAAATTTTGAATTACAAATGGTTTCTAGATGGAAAAAATGTATAACAATACCTGTCAGCATTTTTTCCAGTTTAAAAAGTAGCTAAACCGAATAGAGTTCTGCACAGAGCTGTAAACTCCTAGACATTCCGCTGCGCCGACGGTTGCCGAGAGACTGAAGCGATACGGTACGGCCGGTAGTACAGCGACGCCCCTTTCCAACTCCCACTCCGCGCGTCTGCTAGCGGTCAACGTAAACATCGAGTCGCTTCGAGAGCAGACGCGCGTAGTGGGATCTGGAAAGGGGCGGGGCTGTACTACCCGGCCGTACCGTATCGCCACAGCGAGGTACAGCACTCGCACGCTTCAGTCTCTCGGCATCTGTGGGCGCTGCAGAATGTCTACGCGATCGCAGCTCCGTACATAGCACTATTTGGTTTAGATACTTTTTTTCAGTAGTGGTGTTTACTATAGGGTTCTCGATTGTCTCTCAGTGGTGTTGTGACGTGGGTGTCAAGTGTCTCCAAAGTGGAAATTAGGTCTACTTCCAACTCGTCTGAGTGAGACAGGATATCTGTGCAGGAAACTATAGGTGAGCCTTGCATACTCATCTACTTGTGTGTTAGGGTTGACATCCTATGTTTTTTTAAATAAATTGCGCACATTGCATACACTTAGAAATTAGTCATATACTGAGGTATTTGGGAAAAACTAAAATTTGGCCAAATCGTTTTTATTTTTGTCTTACTATTTTAAGAAATGTCAAAAAACTAATGGCACTATTTAGGCACTATATGATGGTGTTTTTAAAAAAGTGCTACACTGTATCTAATACCAGCTTTTTCTATGACTTCAACGATGTATCACGTTACATTTGTTTTTTAGTTATAAACAAAGGTGTCTTTTCTACTTTTTCATTATATTTAAGTAGGCGTTGCAAACAAATGCTTGATGTAAGATTGTATGATTACTGAGTTTAATCTAGTCTGATCCTTATCTTGGCCACCCCCTAATACATTATTATAAAAAGAAATTTACAGAAACGTGCACTAATCTAACGTCCTTGTAAGTATTCTTATTTACTTACATTCATTTCTGAGCAATCTCAAAACTGTTAGCAAGGCCTCGAACAAAAGGTCCAAGGAATTGGTGATAGCAGAGGTAGCAAAATCATCCGATGAGCTGGCAACGCCGCAATCCAGGTGGAAAGATCAACTCTCAAAACGTATGTCTATCCCGGGGTAACGACGGAGTCATTTAGAACGTCAATGCGGCAGTTTTTCATTCTTCATTTGCATATTTTTAAGAATTGTGCAACGATTTCGAGAAAAATTTAGCTACGGATAGTCTAGTAGAGTATATTTCAATAGTTGACTTGCATGGGGAGACCATATTGAAACGCCTGAACAATTGTAAAATAAAGGTATTATTCCACTTTATAAATATTTTCTGGACAAACCTTGTACAACTTGTTGAAGTAGTCTTTTAACTACTAATATCAGTTGTTTTGAGGCAGGTGTTTAACTGCGATAAGATGTTGAAATGCAAATATCGCGGAAAGGCTATGTTTAATCGAAATAAATGTGAAGTGCCTTTTTTGCGTAATTATAGTTATGGTTTATTGATGATTAATGCATTTTTTGTATTTCCAGAAGACAATAAGGCATGGGAACAGCTGATCAGTTTATATCCCTATTTGGTTGAGTGTACCACAACTACTTCTACCCAAGTCTCACGACCTCTAAGGGAAGCACTGTTACAATTCTGTGATCTTTTGCAACCACCCCTCAATAAAAATAACAATGTGATGAAGATATCAAACTGACTGATATAGGAGACCTTGGAAACATAATTTTCATTTTTGTACCTGTTATTGTATCTGCATTTGATTTGTAGTTGAAATTTGGTAGTCTTGGAAAAAGCATTGTTTGAATTACTTTGTTCTCCATTTTTTATGAGAAAGCTCTTGAATCTAGCTAAATATTGTGTTGATACCATGTAAATATGTTTAGCTGTATCTAATTTTGCAGGGTATTTTATACAGTGGGTCAAGAAAATATCGGCACACCCCATTTTTTTTCTTAAATCTCAATAACGAAAAGACGATTATTTTTACTACATTTATTTGAAAGCATCCAAATAGTAGTTTAATGGCAATAGATTTAACAGATTAAAAATAATCTGAGAACAATAATAGGAATTATGAAATCCAATGGTCAAAAGACAAGTAAACTTTAACATTTTTTTACAGCTAGTATTTTGTTATTTCTATCAGTTATGGCGTGAAGCTGGCTCATGGAATTTCTGAGTTATTTTTTGGTCTAATTTGGTTTCAGAAATTTTATTCTTTGGGATTTCAGGTACCGCTAATGTTCAATGGGATTGATATTCAGGGATTGTGCAGAAACATTGTAGAGTAACCATTAGTTTGTTTTAGTGGCGGTCTGCTTAGGATAATTATCCACTGACAGATCATTGTTTCCCTGATCCCCATGGGGATGGGACCAAATTGGACCAGAAATATCCATACCATGATGACTTCAGGTCATAATTGATACAGATGGCATAACAGCAAAGTACGAATTGTAAACAAATTTTGTTTCTTTACACTTGAATTTAATAATTTCTATTATTTTTAGTTTGCCATCAAAAATGCCTATTTGAATGTTAGTTTTCCAATAAATTTAGTATCAAAAAATGTATCTATTCGTTATTGAGAATCACTGAAAAAATAGGTTTTTGACCTGCAGTATATTAAAAGTCATTGGGAGCAACACTACATTTCACATTTATAAATTCTGCTATGGAGATACCTAATAGTGCTTTTTTCTAGATTCATGTGTTTAAATAAATTATTGGAAGAAGTACTTGTTTTGTTATCTCTATAATATTGATTACTTATATTTGACAGGTCTGAAAGAGCATCATGATGCTATAAAATGGACAGAATTTAGTAGGTATTTTCAAATGTATTCAGAAGTTGAAAAAAGAATATTAAGGTGTTTACTTACTGTGTAGGATTGTAATATATCTTGTTTTTATATACTCCAGCTACCACAAGGGCCTAAACCTAAACACCCATGAGGTACCGTGGGGCTATAGGGGGAAAAGGGGGGGACGTCACACGAGGGAACAGGTGTGCATGCTGCATGCACACGTTCTGGTCCCGCCTAAGAGATCCACCGGGTGGTACCTTCGCGTACGACAGTCAGAGACCGTCTAGCACCTATGGACAATCACAACATCCATATCAGAAGACAAAACGTTCACCACTGCGGCTACCGCTACTGCCTGATTTTTTTAAGGGTGAATACTTGTCAGATCCGTGACCATAGTATTTGTTTGAGCTTCCCGTTGATAATTTATCTGTAAATATTCCGAAAAAAAATAGAATGCTCAGACTGATTGCTATGGAAGTTACTATTTTCTGTCTATTTTCTAGTTGAAATACTGTGGCTGTTGTGGCTCAAATGGATCATCTACAAGCAATCAGATAAAATTGAAATGGTTTTTTAAGTTTCGAAGAAGGTTTTGGTTTGACTGTTTCAGTACTGAAGTTCGTAGTAACGACGATATTTTAGTTGATATACATATTTTATGTTTTTATAAATATTCGTAGAATTTTGTAATTTATTTTCAGCTCACTGATATAAATTGTACAAGGAGCATTACTATGTTTTTTCCACATTTTGTACCATTTCATAAAAAGTATTTAACTACGCAAACGATAGTCTTGTCATTATCAGTATACTATCATTTAGTGGTTCCAACGAATTCAGACTAGGTAAAACGAGACAGTCAAGGACTTGTTTGCCTCCTTATTCTCATAGTCTGTAGAGAAGACCAAAGTGCACTTGACTTAAGATAATTTTTTTACAGTTGTATCATTAAATCCACAGTTTTATTATTTTTTTTAAAGTGCGAGTGTTAGCAGATAATTGTGCTGTTAGACGATTTCAAAACTTACTACTTCTTTCATAATTTGCAAAGAGCAGCACAAGCCTAATGAAGGTAGATGTTTCCAGTCGTCAGTATTATTATTATGTTGATACAACGCTGTCACTTTGTTAGGCATTGGTAGACAAATGAGTCAAAAGTATGCACCAAAACTACGCAATTTTGGCGACAATGCAATGTGAACATACAGGGTGATTAACAAGTCGTGACCAAAAATATCATACACATGACCGGTCTTCCATGTAACATTTTTTCCTCGAGGGCTTGTTGAAGTTTAAAAATAAAAAACAATTTTTTTTAATATCTTCAAAACCGTCATCTGGAATGAACTAAAGTTTGGTATGTTGATTTACCCAAGTATTTTCTATATACAAAATTCTTTACTTAAAATTAAGGTGCACCAGTGGCAAAGATACAGAGGATTAGCGGCATTATTTTTCCAAATAAAAATAGTACGCCAATGTTTTTTTTTTTCGAAATGCGCAATTTTTCAAATTTGACCTTCAATTTGTTACAAATAATTCCTCTTGTGTTTTCCCTAGAGTGGCATTGTTTTCGTAAAAATAAAAAAAAAACAAATTAGATAATCAAAGCTTTATTCCAATAAAAGTGCGGCATCTTTTTAATAAAGAAAAACGTATTTCCGCCTAATTTGTTGTGGCTTGAATATGATGAAACGCATTATATATTCTGTCTTGTAACTGTGTTGTATTAATTTATTCAGCATATACTAGTTGTTTAAAAGCCCCCCACAAAAAGAAATCCAAACCAAGAGACCTCGCAGGCCAATGGCAACTGGGCTGCAATCCGCCTAGTACTTGTACTAGGATCATCCAACGCCAAATTAAACACTTACAGTTCCTCTTGAACAGTATGCCGGACACCATGGCCTCTAACTCCTGGAAGTTTGGCAATTCTATATTGCCGAAGTCTTGAAATGGACGCGTAAAAATCTTTGGGGTAGGATGGCGTCTAATAGGAAATCTATGTTGATTCTCCCGCTAAAGCATTTCCATTACAGAACCCGTACACAAAAATAATATCGGCGTACTCATCATTGCTAAATTCTACTTCACAACACTCCAAAACGGAAAAAAGAAACTTTTAAAAAATGGTAGTAGTAACGATCACAACCGTATAACACAACTTTGACAAACTGTCTCCCAAGAAACGTCAAGTTGGTATCAAGGCCTCCTATTTTATTTTGAAACTAATTGCATCTCGGCTCTTGATGAATGATCTAATTTGTTTTATTTTTGCTCCTAATCTATTCGAATTCGTTGAATGGCACCACTGAATAATATTGATTCCGTTAACAGCTTTGGGTGAAACACTTTTTTTCCTTAGATTAATTTTAAATGTGATACATCTTATTTGTATATTAGTTAATTAGTTGTATAGGTTTTAAAAATAAATGTATCTATATACCAACTATAACTTTTTACTACACCACCAAAGCTTTAGCGTTAAACTCCCTAGTTTGAAATTTGCATGGTAGTGCTATTGTTCTTAAAAGTTTTTTCTGACAGTATTATCAAATTATAGTCAATTTATATGCATGTTTTCTAGTCATGCGAATGCAGGTAGTATTTATCGCATGTAGTAGACGTTAAATACATGAAAAGGCAAGACGCTACCACTAGGTACTCGGTCCTCTATTTATTGAAAGTTGAGGTAAAAGTTAAAAGCGATAGAACTTTCAGGTGTTTGGTCAACAACAATGTTTAATTTTATTCTGTAGTATAAGGAAATTAATTATCGTATGGCGATACTAAATGCGCCAAAAACATTTCAGATACTGTGAGTGCAAGACTAAGTAAAAAATTGAGATAGTGAATTAAATACATCACTATGTCGCAATGTGTGTACAAAACTATTTTATCTCAACATCCCATATCCAACACGTAATTTTAAACTTATCACACTTTTAATTCTAAAAATCCTCAAAATTGTACATAAAATCATGCTAGGTATTGGAATTCTAAGATCCAATCGGATTCTAGGGTGAGTGATTGGGGGCCATGGCTTCCCTGGCATTCCCTGCCCAAGTGCCGTCAATTCAAAGGGTTCCCTTCACTATGCGAGAAGTAACATTCATGCGTAAGACCGTAAGACGCTCCGGACCTGATCCCTGCCATTGTACTGAAGAGGTGTGCAGCGGAGCTTGCTCCAGTCTTTTCACCTCTCGTCCAGATATCTTATGAATCTGACACCTTCCAAAAAAACTGGAAAGGTGCATCGTCCAACCCATCCCAAAAAAAAGGATCTAAAACCGACCCTCACAGCTACAGGCCTATAGCTCTGCTTTCTGTTATAAATAAGGTGATGGAGAGGTGCATAAATCGCGAGCTTCTGGATCTCGAACGTCACAGGGTACGTCACGCAGTTGTGGTGTGCACTCATCCAGTCTTATGGTGAGGCTCATGTCGTTGCTCTTGACATCACGAAAGCGTTCGATCAGCTGTGGCACGCTGCCCTCTTAAGCATACTGCCATCCTATGGCCTCCCAGAAAAGCTTTGCAGATGGGTGGCTGACTATATCTCTAGCCGCAAGATATCAATCGTAATTGACCGCTTCTCCTTTTCATCCCACAACGTCAACGCGGGTGTTCCCCAAGGATCGGTCTTGGCTCTGACACTGTTCCTCTTACAGTATATATATATATATACTCGTATACAGGGTGGCGCATCGAAAACGAAACAGACGCATTTAGTGGCAGCTCAGTTTTTTTTCAAAAACGCTCAGACCCGTCGATTTTGTTTTCGAGGGGGACACAAGTTTGGCAAAAAATCACGTTAGCACCTGCAGCCCCCTAAGCGGGGGTGACACCACCCCCAAAATCTTAAATGTAAATGGGGGTCGAGTGATACCTTATTTTAAAGGTCTTTCAATTCCCTTTATAATGATATAAAATTAATGTACTTCAGTTCAGTAGTTATGAAGATTTATTGATTTAAAGCTTAAATAAAACTAATACATCATCATTAGTTTAGATCAATACATTTGGCAGCAAAGTAATTTAAAAATGAAGAATGAACTGATCCGTTAGGCAAGTAAGTGTTGAAAATGGCCACCATGACTCTCCATGCAATAATAAAGATTTTGGTCTAAACGTTGCCGCACATTTTGCAATATTTGAGGAGTAATTTTAAGGCACTCATTCGCAATTCTTTGTCGCAGGTCTTCTCATGATGTTGGCTGAGTAGCATAGATTTTGCTTTTTAAATGACCCCACAAAGAAATCCAAAGGTGATAAATCTGCCAATCCATCGATCTGGAAACGTCTGATCTAAATATTGTCGAACACGTAATGTGGTGGGGCACCATCCTGTTGGAACATCAACCTATTCGCAATGTACCGCCGATCATTCTGATTTTCAATTATGGCTGTTAATGCAGGATCTATGGCGTCTTCCAGTAATTCCAAATACATTTAACCGGTCAAATTTCCAGGTAAGAAAAAAGGACAAACTAAATGATCGCCAAAAATACCAGCCCAAACATTCAATTTTTGTGGCTGCTGTGTATGAACCTCATGATAAATTCTGGGATTAGAATCGGACCAATATCGGCAGTTATGCCGATTTACTACACCATTTAAGAAAAAGGAACATTCGTCGGAAAAGCAAGTGTTGGATAGAAAATGTTCATCGTTTATAATTCGTTCACTCATATCTTCACAAAATTGTAATCGCGGATCAAAATCGTCTTCATTCAGTTTTTGTACCAAGTGAATTTTATATGAATGAAAACTATGGGCCTTTAGAATCCGTTGGACAGTACGTCGACTAAACTACTTAACGTAGGATCTACATAAACTTGTCCTAAAACCCCCACTTCTATTGCTTCGTTCCTTATGGGATTTTCAATGTTGCGTTTTTTATTGGCGACTGACCCAGTTACCCGAAATTTAGCTACGAGTTCTAGAACATATTTTCGATGCACATTACTGTTCTCGTGTCGCTCAATAAATATTTCTGCTGTTCTATTAGCGCACCGATTATTTCCGAAAAATATTTCGTTATTTTTAAATCAAAATCGACGGGTCTGGGCGTTTTTCCAAAAATAACTGAGCTGCCAGTAAATGCGTCTGTTTCGTTTTCGATGCGCCACCCTATATATATACAGTACTGTACCTTGACGAACAAGAAGCGTCCTAGCGCTCATCCCGTTTCGATGTATGGCCGAGTTCTGCCAAAGAGCCATTCATTTCGTTTGGTCGGAGTCCAGATTACCGAGGCCCTGATCTGGTACGAAAACATCTCGTCAATAGCGTCACCTGCAGGGAAAAAAGCTAGGCTATTTGTTTAGGGCTAAGAAGTACTTTTCTCGGCATGACTTTCTCACGCTATACAAGGCCCACATAAGGCCTAGCCTCGAGTATTGCTCACATGTTTGAGGTGTTGCCGCCCCGCCTACATTATTTATGCTCGATGCTGTCCAGAGCAGAGCTTTCCGACTGATCGATGACTCTTCTCTAAACGCATCGGCAGGCCGTCGGCGACTTAGTTCACTTCTACCGCTACAAAAACGGGCTTTGCTCCTCAGAGCTCTCTTCTATGATGCCGCCGCGCGTTGTGCCTGCCAGACGGACTCGCCTGACTTTGGGCTCCGATCCTAACCGTGTCGAACCTCGTACATCCAGTACTGGCCGATACGACCGCTCCTTTGTCCCGAGGGTGTCGAGATTGTGGAACAATCTACAAGAGGAAGCTTTTCTCAGTTCTACTAACCTTAGGCAGTTCAGAAATCGGATTAACAAAATTTCTTTGGGATCATCATAACAGCCGGGGTGTTCCGGCATTTAGGCCTGTGCCTGTGCGGCTGCTTCTGTATGAAATAAAGTTGTTCATGGAAAGTGAACTGCCGGGTCCGGGATGCGAACTCTTCATATCGTCAAGAGGTGCCTTGATGTGTAGTATATGCTGTTCTTCCCCCGTACTTTATACGTAAAATCTGTTCAAACCTCATTTATTCTGCGTCAAAACAAGCATGGCTCAATGAGCACTTCTATTCACTTGTTGCCTGTCCAGACATTTATGGCCCGCTGGCCAATAGAAGCAAGCGAATTTGAACGGCGCCAATTGTTGTATGTTTATTTTGACAGGGTATAAATGAGATTTGGATACACTGTAATGCCCCTGTGATTGAGTGTGAAATAAGGAGACATGATTCCTGCTAGATTTTATTTGATCAGATAAAGGTAAAAGTTTCTACAAACTATGACAACATAAACTCAACTATAACATAGTAATATCTGATGGATCTCTAAAATAAAGCACTTCTAGCATTATGTAACAATATGTGCAAGATAAGTCAGGTATTGATGTTAGGAAAAATTCTAATTTTATACGGTTTTCATTTGAATCGTGTGACCTCCTAGATAGATCTCAAAAAGCTAATTAGGTGTCAACTTACAGGTTTTACGAATGGCTACTGTTTTCATGATATTATTAATCTATCTTTTCGCGGGTGATTTTTTTAACTTCATGAAAACAGAAGGCATCGTAAAACCTGTAAGTTGTCGTCTAGCTAATTAGACCTCGCGAACCCCGTCATAATTGAATAAAGGACGAAGTTCTAATTTCTCACGGCATCTGATACAAATTTGTATATTATTATTTTCGTAATATGTTCATTGTTCCTCGTCTCCAATCTTTTGTCTAACCTTGGCTAGTACCGTCCTCAGTTCTGTGGTCCTAAGGGTTTGATACTGAAATGAAAGAATTTGCTTTATTAATATTAAAATCCTATTCCCTCACGAATCAATAGTGTAATGTATAGTCGCCGTGCCATGTATGTCTTGGCTGCTGATGTCGTGATTATCCAAAGGTGGTAGACGGTCTCTGACTGTCGAACGCGGAGGTACCACCCGGCGGATCTCGTAGGCGGGCCAGAATGTGTACATGTTGGATGCACACGTATTCCCTCGCTACGGTCTCTGTGGCGCCCCCTCCTTTCTCCTGTATCCCCCTATAGCTTCACGCAACCCCATGGTTGTTTAGGCCTTCGTGGTGGTTGGAGTATAAAAAAACGTTCCTGGACTGTTCAGGACATTTTGTCAAAAAAGGCAACTTTGACATAATGTAAAGGCACTTTAGTAGATAGAGAGGCAATCTCTTCAGTCTTATCAGTAGTAAGGACCACGCAACACCAAGACCCGTAACAATCAGCGAAATTAGCCAAAACCACTCTTGCACATTAAGAAGGTGACCGAGTAGATCTGATACCCCATTATACTGACTTGAACGACCTATATATTGGGACTCGTTGTGTTTGGTGGCTTTGCCCAATGTGACATTTGTTGTGAACGCCGAAAACACTTTTCCCATAGGCGTGTTGCATGGTCATGTATCTTAGTAACGGGAAATTTTAGGACCCATGCTTATAGGGACATTTTTTATTATTTTTGGATGTGCGCTAGAAATATTGCTACAGCTTCCAATTGGGTTAGGTATTGCTGGTGGAATATTTTAATCAGTCAGCTTTAGACATAATGATTAGAATAATTCATTGGAGGATTGTAGACCTACATAGGGTTAGGTATTTCGAAGTGCTGAATACGAATCTCGGGTCCGTTTGACCCATAGACCCTAAAATGTTTGAGGTAATTGTGAAAAACTGCTAAAATAGCTGAAATTGTACCTATACAAACGAGAAAAATTTTCTCGACGTGGATCAAACGTATTTTTTAAGTATTTCGCTATGCTCAACACAATAGCAGCGCATCGAAAAGCATAACCTTAGATGGGTCTAGTCAAATGTACAGGCCATCTTTTTATTTTTGTATGCCGGTGTTAGTGACTACACAAATACTTACCTCAGTGACAGATTTCATAACAAGTAACTGTGAATGCAATCTTCCGCCTTCTTCCTTTCCACAAATCGTTTCTAGTTCCCGCTTCTTTATATCAAACATTTGGTATCCTGCAACCCCTTTAAACTTATCCCTGATACTCTTCTCAAACGCCTTCTTTTCCAACCATTCTTGGACTTCTTTAGGGGTCGACTTCTGACTGATATAGGACTCCTCTGTCTGTTTGATGATAATGTTTCTGGGCCCGTCTCGTTTTCTCATATAATGTAGCACGCTAGACAGCTCTTCTTTCATTTTGTCATTGTTCGATTTCGTGGAAATTTGGGATTGGGTACGTTTGATTGGTTGAGGGGTAGGAGGGGCAGATGGGGTTGGCATTGGAGGTGGGGGTGGAGGTTTAAGGTCAGGTTTCTCTGTTAACAAGTTGTCAAAATCAGTCGTGACTACAAAAAAGTTCTTCAACATCTATAAATGTGACATTCCGTTATACAGTGAAATCTGATGAAGTGGACCCTAGACATGTGGAAGGAAAGAGAACCAGCACATTAAAACTGTACGCCATTGCTGGAGTTTTGCCTATCTTTCTTGAAAAGGTGCAATTTTTATTTTTTTTTTTTTTTAAGACAGAGGTTGTTGTACTGCTTAACAAAATAATGTAACGCCCTCGTAATTGGAACTCTGAGCAACAATGAGACCCCTCGTAACATCGACGATTAGGCAACCAGAATTTCGCAACCACCCATCGCCATCTACCAAGCTTCGAAGAAGACTAGAAAACGCGGGATCGCGTCAAGACTTGTCGATTCGAAGAAAAAAAGGCACAGGGGGTAGTGAGAGGCAGAGAGAATAGACCGAAAGGTAGCAACGGGAAATACGATAGAATTGCCAGATAAATTAGTCTGCAGGTAATAAATTGGAACCTCAAATGATAAGGTGATCACATAATACATTTGCTTTTAGCAAATCTGTTTTCTGGAATTATGAGATGAACGATCAAAGACGGACAAGTATTATGGAAACAAAGTATTTCCGGACCTATGTTTATCAATTTTCTTGAAGACATTTTGGAATACCAGATATATATATATATATATATATAGGGTTTTGCTTATTATCAATAAATAACCAGTATAACGAATGCCACAACCAAATTACACGTTTTTTCAGGCATACGAATGAAACTTTCTCAATACATGTGATAATAATTGATTGAAACTGAATACCTGATGATATTCTATTATCTTACGAGTACATACACCTTGAGAACGGTATGAAGCAAAAAGCATCATAGTATACTGACAAACAATAAGCGTACACAAAGCATATTTCCTGATATATTGATATAGCTGAAAAACAAAATTGACATAATTGTACATTTATTGCAAGTTAACAGTGTTATTGAAATAGCTACTTCTAATAATTTTCTAGTACGAAAAAATAGCCAGCGCATGAAGACTAAATATATTTGTTGGTTGAAAGAAACTCAAAAGAATAGTGGATAATTTATTGATCAAACTGTTTACAAATATATATTTTACGTATAGATTTGAGTTAGTATAAAAATTATTTTGTATAGTCATCCAAATTTCTCTAAATATATACATTATAATAATTCTGTAAATAATATCCTAGCAGTAACTACTGTTATAAGTGGACTAATAAATATCCTAAAACAAACTTTTCAGAAATTGAGAAGGCACAAAAGCAACACATTTTCCATAAATTTTGGGACAGCACAAATACAGTGACGGATACAACAGACTTAACACACATAGAGCAGACCTCTCAGAAATATCGGAATTCCCCTTTCTTACCGATCCGCTGGTTCTTTATCCAGTCCGCGTTGTTTTTCGTGGAAGTTGGGTGATCTGGAGTAGTTGAACCGTGGCCACTATTGAACCTTTCGATCGGCGATTCCTAAAATAAATATAAACCATATTGCCATAACCATATACAAGGTATTCATAAGTCGTGACCAAAAATGAAACATACACAGGACCGCATTTTAAGGGGTGCCTTCTATGCAAGATTTTTCCCTCGAGGGCTTCATTAAAAAGATACGGGGTGTTGGAGTTAAAAAATAAAATAAAACAATTTTTTTTTAATATCTATAAAACCGTCAACTGGAATGAACTAAAATTTGGTATGTGGATTTACCTAAGTATTGTCCACATTCAAAAGTCTTTACTTGAAATTAACGTGCACCAGTGGCGGAGATACAGGGGATTAGTGTCATTATTTTTCCTAATAAAAATAGTACGCCACTGTTTTAGACAATCAAATTCAATAAATGTTCAAACGACCACCATTCTGACGGATACAAGTGCGGGATCTTTTTAGTGAAGAAAAACGTATTTCCGCAAAATTTGTTGTGGCTTGGCTATTATTTTATGTGTGATCAACAGTATTAATTTGTTCAGCATACACTAGTTGTTTAAAAGCGCCCCACAAAAAGAAATCCAGGGGGTTCAAATCAGGAGACCTTGCAGGCCAATGTACGGGTCCGTTTCTGCCTATATATCGTTGTCTAAAATGATTATTTAACCATGCGGTTACGACGAACATGCGGTGCGGCACCGTCGTGCTCATACCACATTCGTACTCTCGTTGCTAACGGAACGTCATCTAACACGTCTCTGGAAAAGCTAAGTATGAGTTTGCATTTAAACGTTGTGCCAATACTTGCATAAACTGTTAGCCGCACCAGACATTTCTAGACAATCTGTGTTGAAACGAGTGGATTCTTACAGAACAGGGATTTTCTAACGACCAAAAATGTTCATTATGAGGATGAGGTTCCACTCCTCGTAAAAAGCGAATCATCCGATCACAAAACCAAATCAATAAAATCTGCACTTTGATTACGCATTTGCAGTAACCACTCACAAAAATTTCGCCGTTGCACTTCGTCGCCGGGTTGCAGACATTGCACATTTTGCCGATGGTAAGGATGTAAAACTTTCCGATTTAAAATGTTCCACGCAAGACTTTAGAAACATGTTAACTCGGCTGCAATCCGCTTAGTACTTGTAATAGGATCATCCAACGCCAAATTAATCACTTCCAGTTCCTCTTGAACTCAGTATTGAAACTGGAAGGTCACTTGAGTACTACATATTTATTTATAAACTTACCGGTCTTCTGTGATTTGGAGGATATGGATTATTAAAAGCATATGGTGTAACTATTGTATGTGGTACATGAGCGATTTGACCTCTGCTATTTCTTGCCTTCCACCATTTCCTGCTATCATCAAGAATCTGTAAAAACATAGTATTTAACATTCAGTTTCTAGTACTACGATGGAAATTATAAAGAAAATGCAACATTCAATATGTTAATAAAAAAGAGCTAGTAGCTTATTGGAATGGCATTAGCAAACAACTGCATATACACTGTGTGGTAGGAGAATTAATGGGATGCTTCGAAGGGAAAAAATTTGAAAAATAAATTTTTTATAAGCACATATGAAGCTACTAGTTTACAAAAAATATTCAAAAAGCCCACTTCCAGCACCTCTTTTCATAGACTGCGTATTTGTGTATTTGGGCGAGTTAGATATTATATGAGATAATTTGCATTCTAGCTTAAGGTTATAATTTTGAAGAGTTTTTGTGTATCAAACATCTTCATTGCTTCACATGTGGTTTTGGCAATAAAGAGTGTAATTTTCGAAACTTATTTTTGCCTTTAAACTGAAGGATTGTTAATTTTCAAACAGACAAATTCTGAAGTGTTAAAAAACTACTTCTTCTACTTTGGATATTAAAAGAATTTACCTCGAGGAATTCTCCACGGACAACTGTCAATTCCTTATCATTATTAGCAGTTCTTGGATAAGTCACTTGCACAATATTAGCGCCTCTACTCTGCAGTTCTTCCAAGAAGGCCTCTTGGTTTCTCCCGAATCCTCTGTCTTCTGGGTTTCTTTCAATAGAGTCCACAGATATGTCGCTTCGGGTACTTTCCACCATTGGTGGAGGCAAGTCCTTTTCAGGTGGATGGTGATAAGAATTTCCTCTATCATGAGCATCTTGGCTCGAAGAGGGATAGTCATTGTAGTCACTGCTGTATTGTTCATGATAGCCTTTGCTTTCTGACTCCATCTCATCTATTACTGGGAATTCTGGTGACCAACCGTCCATGAATACAGGATGGTAGGATGGTACATGCCCTTTGTATTGGTCCCTGGAATAAAGATGGAGTTTAAGTAAAATATTGAATTAAGGTTGAATTATACAGATTGTTTCCAAAATATTTGGCAAATAAAGGCGATTCCTTGAACCATTTTAAAACTATTATGTTTTATGATTTTCGTAAAACTGATTCGTTTTGAAGATAGAGAGTCTTAATAATACTTGTGATTGTATCAAGTAGCTTAAAGCTAAATAAATCCTCTTCTATTCGATTCAATTCAACATTTCTGGACATAATATACAGGGTGCGGCAGAGGGGATGGACGGTTTTAAAAAAATCATAAAATAGTTAATTTTTACTCGAAAACAAATTTATTGATGGAATCAGGTTCACAAGGAAATAGCATTTGAGACAGTCAAGTGTGGAAAATCACATCAGGCATTTGGTAGCCCAAATCGTTGATGCAGTGCTGGCAGCGTTCTTGGAAGTTCGCGTAGACTCTCTCCAACATCGCTCTCTTAACTTCCACGCGAATTTCGCCCTTCAATTCGTCCGGAGTTCGGGGCTTGTGGGTTGTGAAAGTGGGCTTGGTCACTCATAAACAAAATGAGGTTCTCATTTTGATCGATCAGTGCTTCCGTCTCACGTGCGAAGTTCATTCGTTGTGCATAATCTCCGGCCTGTAACTGTTGCACAATGGCCAATTTGTAGGGTTGAAAGCGGAGATCCATATGCAAAATTCGCCTTACCGAACGATCACTAAGGCGAAGTGCAGCAGCATGTTTCCGTACTGCGAAGAAAGACCTTTCGAACGCGTTCAACATTTTCAGGGGTTCGAACTGTTCGCGGCGCTCCTCTTGGTCTTCTGTTGATCAGTTCACCACGCCTGCGAACTGATTCAACCCAACGAAGGATGATGTTTCGAGAGGGAACAGCTCTATTCCGATGAATGTTGAAGTGGCGACGAAACTCACACTGTATGACGATGACTGACTCATTATTTCGGACAAAACAATCATAGGCGAAAACGCGGTGCTCCATCGTCCAAGGCTCCATAACGACAACTGATAAAATAATGCTAGGATCTCACGAGTCAAACGGCACCCTCCCCACCTCTCTCGTAGACGGAGGCGGAGAGTACTACAGATCCCAAAAACGTCCGTCCTCTCTACCGCACCGTGTATATCTGCCAAACTCTGATATTTTTATTTTTAGAAAATTTTTTAGGTTCCGTTTCTTTAAAATGAAGTGTTTTTTTCTAAAATCGCTCATTGAATAGGACCTCATGCTTACGAAACAGTATTATATACAGGGTGTTAGAGAATGTTAGGAAAATTTAAAGACAGATTCAGCTCGTAAATATAGGGAAACAAGTCCATATAAAATCCCTTATTCTCATAATTTAAGTTGTTAAGTGTATGCCACTGGTCTTTGCAAAAATAATTGTTGTTTTCTCAAAGTCGTATTGATTAAACTTGAACATCGTAATTTTTCATTATGTTCGTGAAAAGGTTTCAGATCAATCACTATTTTTAAATTAACGTACTGGTTAATAAAGTAATTTTTGGGATGTTACTGAAGAATTCCAAGAGGAAGTTCTTTTAGTAGAATCAATCTGGCTTCAAGATACCGATACTATGTTTTTCGCAAATGGCGTATTGCTTTTTTGACTAAGCACAGGGATTTTTTGACATGGATGCCACTGATGTAAGAGCTTTAGGAAACATTTTTGTACAGTGTACGAAATCCAAGATTTTGTCAATTTTTGCCTGAAAAACAACGTTGAAATCGCTTTAAAATAAGCTAATCTCAAGATATCCTTCGATGTCTTGAACAATGTCTCAACTTTCACTTAGATACTCGATGACCTCAAAAATTTTAATTTGTAACCGAGTTTTTAAGCATTGAATATACACCCACACGGTAACGCACCTCAAATTTGTTTGAAATTTTTTTTATTCCGAACAAGAAAGGCTTCCATTCACTTTTTTCTAAAGCTGACCAGTTTCGAGTTATAAGCGGTGTCTGAAAAGCCTTAAAAGTGGGTATATTAATGCTTATAAACTCGGTTTAAAATTATAATTTTTGAGGTTGCCAAGTTTCTAAATCAAAGATAACCTTGCTCTACAAGACTTCAAAGAGTATTTTGAGAATGCTTTATTTTAAAGCGATTTTTAGCTTTTGGTTTTCGCATACCATCCACGTAAATGTGACACTTGCATGTACATACCAAAACACGTCCCCATTTCACAATGTGTTTGTAAGGTGAATCAAATAGGCATGTTGAAACGTCACATATTCTGGACACGATACATTTTCGAACCTATTTTTATATAACATGTATAAAAAACGAGAACGTAAAAAATATCTATCCTTAACTCACCTGGGTATGAGCCATGCATTTCCCAAAGAGTGCCACAGTTCAGTTTCCTTACTTGTCACGCAGTTCATGAGTAAATTGACAGCTTCTCTGGTTAACAAAGGTGACACGACGTTGTGTGGAATATGTCTTTCAAAATAGGTATCTTGACCTGCTTCAACAATCAATGCTAACGGGGTAAAAAGAAAATGGACCAGTTCTGGGGCATTTGGATCGTGGATATGCGCTTTTAGCTTCGCCAGTAAATTGAATGACAGCTTGAACTTCTGGAAGATGTCCACGAATTCTTTTTCGGGTGGAGGTTTGGTCCTCATTGTTAGCATACCTATAAAAATGGTCTGTTTCAAAAAGCTGTAGCACTGATTAACGAATTCTAGATGAAGATAGCCAACCAAGAAAGCAATACGCATTTTCAGGGATTTCCCAAATATGGATATGCTTACTCGCTTAGAACCTTAGCTACACATGCTCCTGATAGACAGGGCGGACATAGTGCCCAAGTCTGCCATATTTTCTTTACACAATACTTTTTTTTTAAATGATCACACTGTTCGGCATTCTGAAATTTTTTGTCGCTCTCGTAATTTTTTTGCGTCTACTGTGTTGTACTGAAATCAAATATGCAGTCAGTTTCTCCCCATCGCCTACAAGTTTTTAGAGAAGGGAGAATATCAAATATGAAAATTCCAAATTATAAGCGATCTAGTGGTGAATTTCTAAAAATTAAAAAAATAAATCCAGTTTTTTAGAAAATATACTGTAAAAAAAATTATTTTGTTGTCGTTTTTCGCTTGTATTGGGGACTATTTTCCGCTATAGCGCTTCTCCATCTGTGCAATTTGCTGGTGAAATATTTCACCGTGCTCGTCTCAAACTGCACTCAAATTGACAGGGAAGAATTCTAAATTGCATATTGCAACCTACGGCCTTATAACATTGGAACTGATAAGTTCTTCAATTAGATCTTTGGAGTTGCCCAACTTTTTGTCGCCTAGGAAGTTGCTACATACATCGTATGCTCTCTTTTCCTTTTTCAAAAGTGTAGTTTTAAAATGTTGGTCCTTAAAAAGTTCTCGTATTTGAGGTCCAATCTTGAAGCTTTGCTTCACTAACACGCGAGAATTTCCGTCTCAAATAAAGAAATACATTCCCTTCTCTGTCGACTCTGAGCTTCAACAAAATGAGAAAGCTAGAACTTCAGGAATAAAGGAGGAAGCTGTTAGTGGATGTACGTCCCAGTGAAGTGTTGAGGGAGCGGATTCGTTAATGGAAAGCGAGGCTGAAACCACGTCAGGCCAACAAAAAACAGACGATGGGGCACAACGGCGCTTCGATAAAATAATCATTTTTTCAGACATAACCATGCCTGCACCGTCTACTTTGATATAAAGTTCCACACCCACAAATTGTTGATATTCCAGGCAATAAAAAGGTCGAAATTTCTGGAAAAAATGTGCAAAATAATGGCGAAGTTACTTCCTTTCATGAGACGCAGAACGATGAGGAATCAAATTCCGTCAATTAGTAGCACTTAGAAATTTACAGAAACTTAGACAATTTGAAACCATTTTTTATTGATAACTACAGACGCTGGAAATGAAGTTTTACTGTTCGCACTTTTCGGAAAAATAGAAATTTGAATTTTATTTTTTGCAATATGAAATTAACAAATTGTACATAAAATATAATTCAATTTTGAAATCCGACCATATCATTTTTTTACTAAAATTATAGCCTGTATTCCTTATTGCAATATAGCATTTGAGTTTTCACATTTTCCAAGCATGTATTATAAATGTTCAAATTATTTTAATAGGGAAATAATATTCGTAACTTTGGAAGGTGATTCCTTGCATTATTCTAAGCAAAAAAATTCATTATAACTTATGTCCGAAAATCAACCGTTTCAGTGCAAAAAAATGCTGAACTTATTTCTTTTTAATCATGTAATAAATTAATTTTACACCTAATTTAAATTCATATGCCTAATAGCGTAAAATGTATCAATACATTTATTTATTAATTAACTGTCTCTAACAAAATAATGTTCTTGCTCATTAAATACAATTTTCCGAGACAAACAAAATCCCTCACACAACTGGCAACGTCGTACTCCGCCTGCATTGCATGTATCATCGCGTGTTGCCCAAGATCGACATCGTCTAGGTAAACAAAAAAATAAATCGGGAAAAAAACATATGATAGTTTCTCTCAAATTTTATTATTCAGTACGAGTATGTATTACTGTATCAGTGCGTGCATTTTGATACGAATGAGATGTTTTCGGTACGCGAGTATCACGATATGCTTATTATTTACAGAGATGCTCATTGCAATTCTGAAGAGGCTAGGCGCATTTACGAAGAACGTTTTCCTGATCGAAGGATACCAACTAGAAGAACATTAGTAGAAGTATCCCAAAGACTTCTGGACACAGGAAGCGTAGTGCCTAATTTTAACAATCGCGGAAGACATCGCGAAGTTGGAGTGGAAACCGAAGAACAAATTTTGAATTTAATTGTCAAGGATTCGACACGGAGTACGAGAAATACTGGTCGTCAAGTCGGTGTCTCACACTGGATTGTACATACCCTTAAAGAACAGTTTTGTAATTAGTTTTTGGGTAAACAACGAAGAAATCACAATTTTGTAGCGAACGCGTTGTCAACAGACGAGTTTTGTTTCACAAGAAATGTGATTTGGCATTTTTACAATTTTCTTAATTGGGCGGATGAAAATCCGCAGTATCAATTTTCTGTTAATGTGTGGGCTGGAATAATTAATAGTACCATTTTTTCAATTTAATTCAAGGCATATTTTCAAATTATTCGATGAATCAGTTGCGGTCGTCGTACGCTCGTATCGCGGTTGCGTTGCAGCGTTGCCAAGTGTTTGAGAAAATTTAATTATTTACGACTCACTTTCCTCGAAAACGATTGATTTTCGGACATAAGTTATAATGAATTATTTTGCTCAAAATAATGCAAGGAATCACCTCGTAAAGTTACGTATATTATTTCCCTAACACCCTGTATAGGTTTTTCTAGTATTTGAACGAAAGCACTTCTCTATGAGTTTATTAGTGTAGATATGTAGTTGTTTTTTATTTAATTAGATAATAGGTAGCTAGTTAAAAAAATGTAACTTTAATGTTTTCAATTTAGTTATCAAGAATTGAGATTTAGGATTGAATAAAAAATACTACACATTTTATGAGGATTGGAAACGAAGCATCAGATGTGTGGATGTTGAATTTTAGAGATTAGGTCGATTACATGTCCTCCAGTTCATTGCAGGCATGGAACCTGTTCAACGCATTTTACTTATCATGCTGAAGCGTACCAAATTCAGTTTCGCTTATTTCGCGGAGAATGTTTTCTTTTAAGTCTGCGTGGTACCTCAAAGTATAAACGTAAGCTTTTTGCTCCTTCGACACCACATAGGAAGAGTCAGTGGGTGTCAAATCTGGTGAGTGCAGTGGCCATGCAGAAAAGCCGGTCATTCAAATAAAATGGAGCGACCTGCCACATAGTAAGGGTCGCTACTGAGTTGTTTGTATACCTCAAGAGCAAAGTTTGTGTTGATATCGCTGATTTAAAAAATATCCTTGAAGATGCCTCGAGGTATTACGCAAAATAAGATGAACAGATTCCATCAGTGCGTGCGACGAAATGGAGAACACATACAAGAGGCAATCTTAAAAATTGAAACTTAATTATCAATAATTAGAATTTTTATTAATTCAATTCGGAAATCATAAATCTTCTCTTGGTCACCGTTGACTTACCATCTCCCATGTCGCGTTTTTTACTTTTTCGACTTTTTCTTCGGCGTTCCAGCTCTCTAGCTGCGGCAGCAGCATGTTGCAGTCTGGCGATAAACTTTTCAATATCGTCGAAGCAGTGGTTCAAAATGGCTACGTCACGTTCATATTTTTCGCTAGTCGTCGAGCTTGAATCGTCGTTGTTGCCTGACAGTTCAAATTCGCCACCGTGGTAATCCCTGTATAATAGTTTTGGTGTCTCAAAATCAAGATTTCAACTAAATAGTTTTTCTTTAGGATTCCATGTTTTAAAGAATCATAAATTACACATCCTTGATCCGTTTAATTTCCCTATGTTCTATCTTGATACTTGACGATCCGACAGGAAATGACAATGTGAGGAAGATAAACTGTGTTTTCTATTTAATTCAGATCTTGGGTGAGTTTTGGGACATCCTGTATGTTTGTTTTTCGCTAGCGTGCTTTATACCAATGCGCTAAACGCAATCCTAGACTAAACTCGTAGAAATGATGGTATTCCATGTCTTAGTTTAATGTCCTTGATAAGATACAGGATGTTGAAGGTTTAAGTTTACTTCTCTATAAGCGAGGTAGAGCTGATTTCCATTCCACCTCATCCGGAAATATTTATGCGAGTACCTTCACTTTAGGTAGCTATTTCTTAAAGACCTTTGAACTAATAGTCAAATTATACATTGGATCATGAAATTAAGATCATTGGTTAGAATCTGTAAAAATTTCGAATCTTAACGTGTATATACACAGGAGACATGAATTTTAAAAAAATTAACTTTTATCTTGGCTGCTATTGGTCGTAGATTTATTAAAATATGCGTGTTTTACCATCTATCCAGATCAACTTGTTAAAATAATTATATTGAAAGATAACGGGGTAAATGTTAATAACTATAAAAATAGCTTTAAAATCATTTTTAACAATTTTTTAATAAATAATATTTTTTTGCATAAATTCTGTTGAAACCTCCAAAAATCCACTTCACTTTTGAAAAATGTTCTAGGACCATATTTTGGGCAAGAACGGTTGTTCAAATAATTCGTCTCTGGGATAAACAATTATATTTTTACATAAACTATTAAACCGATCGGGCTGAAATTTAGCACACTTATTAACACCAATGATGCCCTCATTCTCACAAATTCTTAGCCATTAACAATTGTTATTGCAACACCTATAAGCATTTTTTTCAATATTGCTAAAACGCCCCGTATTTAGCTTAATTGCTTATCGATTTTACTTCTTAAAAAACAAAATTGAAGGTTTTTGTATCCTCTAACATCTCCAGTTTACCGATTATATATACGTATAAAATTTAATTTGAAAATTATACAAGCATAATACTGAATTTTGTGCTTTTCCCATTGTTTATAAAAAAACAAGGCATATCTGGTTGTATCTTTTTATGTATTTTTCATTAGAAAGTCCATTTAAAACTTTCAGATATCTGCTAAACTTTTCTTCAATTTTTTTATCTAGCCTGACTAATCGTGCTGGTCTTTGCCATTGCAGACCACTTCGTCACATTTGTTCCTGGACGCGATGTCGGCTTGTCTGTTCTCTACAGTGGCGTTTTGTGAGAAGTTTCTGCGCGTCTTGATCTTCTGCCGACGAGCAGTGTCCAACGATTTGTTGAAAAAGCTGTTGGACCCTGGCTTAAGCACTTTCACTTTCTATTAGCACGAATATGATTGCCGAAAAAAGTAAGATCTTAACCCACCTCCTTACCAACATATTATGCAAGTATTTGGAACTGAAGGTAGATAAAGAGTTTTCCAAGCACATAAATCAAATAACTCCAGCACAGTCAGGGGTTCCGAAAATCACATTTTCAACTGTGGTAGTATTAATATCGAGGTTCTGAATTTAGTTTAAAAAAAATAACATTTTGTCGGACTGACTCGATTTTAACTTACCTTGTAGGAAGTTCCCGTGTGGGGTTCACAATATTTTGCGGTGGTTTGTGGGATGGAGGTGGGATACTACTTTTTCTACTGCGAGTTAGAGCCTTGCCCATTTTTAATTGCATGAGGTCTTCCACTAAATCTTGTGCTGATATGCTTTGACACTGAAATAACAGAAACAACCTGATACAATGTCATTCAAAAATTTGAGAACGAATTTCACGTTCATGATGAAATCACCAACAGAAGAAATTAAGAAACACTAAATAAAATTCTTGTGAAACAAATGGGATGAGAGAACTTCGCACACTACTTTGTGAGGGTATCAGCTGATTTTTCAGTAGGCACAACAACAAGCAGCCATCTTTACTTTACAGAGCTAGTCCGGAACCGTTTTAATGTAATATCTCAAACTTATCCTTCGTGCGTTGCCAATGAAACATGTATTGACAGAATCTTCTTTACTGTAAACGTTTCAGTCACAAAGGTGATATTCAGTAAGTACAATGGCAATATATTCTATTCATGTCTTTCAGGTGACAGTTCGTTTGTTTTCGGTTTTTATTATTATAGTCAGTGACATCAGACGTCTTACACTTTGATTTGACGACAGTGGTATGCAGTCAAAGGAAGCACTAACCGTGGACGGTATGAAAAAAGTCCAAAGGCTCGAATGCGGCCATAGAGGGTAGGTATACGAGTAGTCTACCTTCTTCTCCAGACCATTGGTCAGCAATCTGACTCGTAGGAGCAAAATGGTCTAGTTGTCCGAAGCGCCTATCTTGACGCTCTGTGGTACGCTTCGGTGTACGAGTTGGCCTTCTTCGTGTTCCTCTACCTTCTTCTATCCACGCACGACACACACGCATTACCGTCATTGCAGTACAATTAACACGGCCAACTTCGCGATATAGTCCAGGACTATTAGACGAAAAGAAGGCTAATCTGCTGAAAAAAAACCCACCTGGCTGAATTTTTCACCAGAGCTTCTTTTCAATATTATAAATCATTCCTCAACAGTCCCCATGAATCCAAGTGGATCTTTTTTTTATGGGGGGGTCAAAGGTCACAAAAAACACTATTTTCCATATATCTTCGAAAATATCAACTCTACGATAAAACGCGATATTACCGTTTTTGTTCAGTATGAAATTATCCACAAAAAAGGTTTTATGCATTTTTTCGCAGAGTTCGTTTTTTCAAAGACATTTTACTTTCACTGTTGAACATTGAAAAAATGTAAAATACGTGGTCTCCCCAATAGGCCTAATCCACGAAAATCCATGAAGAAATGATGTTATTGTTACTTTTTTCCTTAGTCATCAATCTGACAAGATGCGGCATCATCTAAGTCTTCGCCAACCTCAAGTGTTGAGCAAAGGAAATTCATGGGGTCTATATTCTTATCGAATTCCACATTATTCGACTCTTCATTGCTCGAGATCATATTCAGATATGACTGTCCATGACAGTAGCCGCAAATGGTGAAACAGTGTAGGCCAAGTTTCCTACATCCGCTATTAGCTTCACAACCTTTCGTACAATAATTACAAAAGATTGTGTTTAATAAGACAGCAGGACCAGGTGGCAATAGAGTTTGTATTGGCTGTAAATATTCGTATTCCTCTACCTTCTTCTATCCACGCACGACATACACTCATTACCGTCATTGCAGTACAATTAGCACGGCCAACTTCGCGATATAGTCCAGGACTATTAGACGAAAAGAAGGCTAATCTGCTGAAAAAAATCCCACCTGGCTGAATTTTTCACCAGAGCTTCTCTTCAATATTATAAATCATTCCTCAAAAGTACTCCTGAATCCAAGCGGAGCTTTTTTTATGGGGGGTCAAAGGTCACAAAAACACTACTTTCCATATATCTTCGAAAATATCAACTCTACGAAAAAGTGAGTTATTACCTTTTTTGTTCAGTATGAGATTCTCTACAAAAAAGGTTTAATGCGTTTTTCCGTAGAGAACGCCAATTTACAGAAAATTGCGAGAAAGTGTTGTAATTGACCCAAATCAAATATTTCACGTCAATGTTTGACGTGAAATATTTGATTTTGGTTTGACGGTCAAACCGTATTTTGACATCGTTTTTTTTTTTATGTTTGTGATAGGGGCTCTATAAGTGTCCCCTCTTGTGATCTAGAGCACAGCTGTGGGGCATTTACGTCATTTAACCAGTCTTCAGACCAGTTTCTGCTATTCTCAGTTGTATACAGACGCGTCGGATAATTTTAGACAGTTTTTACCTGATATTATTCACATCCAAATTGAAAAATGGCCGAAAATTGCATCATTTGCGACAAATCGCTGTCAGACGGAACGACTGTTTGCGTCGAGCGCGGTATTAAAACCGTATGGAGCGAAATGATGGAAAAATTACATTTTTGCCGAGTGTTGAATCGATCAGAGTGCGCGTGGTGTGTCGCAAAGAATATACTCGTGCAAGTAGCATTACTGCTGCTAAGAGGGAGCGAGATGCTGAACCCAGCACCTCGACCGCTAGCCCTTCTCGGCGAAGAATGCGTTCTACCGAGAGCGAGCAATTTGAATTTGACAAAAAAAAAATATTTTGTGGAATGGCACGTTGCGAAGAACATGAGAAAAAAGTTCCCTCGTTTCGTCGTCGAAAAATCAAGGAAGTATAGACATCATAATTTAAATCGATTGTGATTGCTATAGCTCAAAAGCGTAATTATTCTCTTGGTAGAGTAGTTAAAAATCGCATTATTTATTAAGACTATTTAGTAGCAGTAAATGCAAAGTATCATGGTGATTGCTATGTCTCAAGATATCAACATCTCTTTGGCAATGGAGGAAATATATAATTACATTGAAAATAATAATGACTGTCAGTTCTCTTTATGGGAACTTAAAAATGTATGTACTGTTTTTCTAACTGATGATGTTACTGTAAAAACAAAACTTTTTGAAAAGTACGGTAAAAAATCGGCATTACAACAAAGAGTCGAAGTTCAACGATTATTTGTTTCTCCAATGTTCGCCATGATATCTTGAACAAAACTTGGTATGACAATCGTAAATGTGATGAGAAAGAGGAACGTTTTAGAATTTTAAAGGCCGCTGCACTAATTATTCGTGAAGATATACAATCGACACCCACGAATAGCCATTATTGTCCTCCTACAAATCAAATGTTCGACAACATCGAATACAGCTCAAGCACATTTATGTCGTTTATATTATCAAGTCCAGAAATGGATTGGAAAGAATTTGAAACCATTGGATTGGGGATGGACTATGATCGACGAATATTTAAAGCCAACTCTACGAAAAAATGCATAAAATCTTTTTTGTGGATAATTTCATACTGAACAAAAAAGGTAATAACTCATTTTATCGTAGAAATTGATTTTTCCGAAGATATATGGAAAAAAGTGTTTTTTGTGACCTTTGACCCCCACCCAGAAAAAAAGCTCCACTTGGATTCATGAGAACTTTTGAGAGATGATTTATACTCGTAATGCTGAAAAGGAGCTCTGGTAAAAAATTCAGCCAGGTGGGATTTTTTCAGCAGAGAAAGTCTAATATTCCTGGACTAATAGGACAAACCAACATCTCGATAGGCAATAATTCTGCCCCTGTCAAAGTCGCTATCTTGGTCATAATTTGGACATCTTCGAACTTGAGGCATTTTGTTATGCTTAACACTAGTAAGTGAAAAGGCAATAACTAAAAATATCTGTACTACTCAGCTCTCAGAAACTGCTTTATTCACAAAAACTAAAAGATAACATTTTAACAAAGCAGGGTTGAAGAAAACATGTTTAAAAAACAAAAATCATGTTTTTTTGTTTAAAACATTAAAATTTTGATGAAAAAAAGTTTAAAACACTGTTAATACACGTTTAAAACAGTAAAAAAAATAAAAAACTATCTAGCAACGTTAATGAAGTTCCTTGAAAGTGTTATTACTATTTTTGATCCACCTCTATCGGAGCACATCTCTAATTTAAAAGCGGACGTCGGGAAACTACCGTGCTGACGTCGGGGAAGTACCGTTTGACTTTGGGTAATTTTTCGCGTTGCGACCTCCAGCAGTCAAATGTGCGAAGTCGTAGCGTGGTGGTGTGTTTTGTTTTTGCGCATTAATGATCGGCAAAAAAAGAAAGGCAATGACAGGGGGGTGAAAGCATCCCGTGCGGAAATATTTTAAGGAGAGCGATGTCAAGGCTGGCTCGAAAATAACAGTACACAATCTATAAACACAATGATAATTTCAAAAGAAAAGAATAAGGCCTTGCTTTAAACAAAACGTGGTTTCCAATTCTAAAGAACACAGCGCAAAAGCCACGTCACTCAAGAGGCCCAGAGTACCCCCACCAGACAACTCAATCCTCAGTCCGCCGATCGCCTATAAAACCACACGCTCATCCAGTTAACCGATCAGTTTCGTCGACCCGTCAAGCCGAGCACTTCGCTCTCGCCGACAGCGCCACTGAAGATGGCTACTGCAGAATTAGCCGAAAGCTATGGACCAAATCCAACCCGACCACGGCTCAACAGCCCGAAGCACCTAAATCGCATGTTTTAAACAGTTTAAAGCAAATTTATTTAAAACACCTTCATTGTTTTAAACAATGTTTAAAACACCCGTATTAAACATTTTGATTAAAACATAACAACCCTGTAACAAATGTAAACCAAAACAAAGATAAAACGTTGACATTGCTGCCACAGCATGCTTCAAATATAGTCAATTTGATGTTAAAAAACCAAGTTGAAGAAATTATTTTTTCTGGGTGTAACACTTCTAAAGTCACTGAGTATTCATACCCATACAGTGTGCTACTAGAATAATCTGATGAGATTGCGCGAAGTTATCATTCAGAATTTCAAGATGGGACCACGCAAAACCAGGACGGCCTGGGGTAGGCATTCCCGCTCCCAAAAGAACGTCGAGCCCTCAAAACGACAAGCGAGTATGAGATTATCTATCTTTTTTTTGACGTACCAGATACGTCACCCTCGTCCATCGTTCCGAAAATGCCAAAAACGCGAACACCGACCCAAAACTGTTGTCGTAACAGGGCTTTTGGCGTTTTCAGGACGATGAACGAGGGTGACGTATCTGGTACATTTAAAACCGACAGATAGTCTCTTTTTAATGCCTACCCCAGGCAGTCTTAGGCTATGGTGGTTTTTCGTGGTGCCATCTTAAAATTAGGAATGATGACTCGCGCAATCTCCATCTTCAGACTATTGTAGTAACACATTGTATAGTAATCTCATAATGGAAAGAAAAAACAAACATACTGTCAAGTGGAAGACAAAAGAATACATTGTATTGTGAAGATCACCCTTGTGACTGAAACCTTTACAGTAAAGATTCTGTCCATAAATGTGGTTTTATTGGCCAGACCAGCATACTATGATCTATTAAATCTCCTAGAACATTTGCGGAATTAATAACAACATTGATGAGATGACGTTAAACCTCAATCTAGTCGTTTATCAATACCTAAAAATACCTGCAATATTTAAATTATTGATATATTTTCTGTTTGACAAAAACATTTATCACCATTATTATAACATGAAGTCTATCTGAGGAGAGATTAAGAGTATATACGTTATCTTATCAATGTTTTCAAGTATTATTTACGATTCCACGAGATACATTTTTTCTGAATATGTATTGTTTTAAGCAATCACGGGGATTCTCTCAAAATGCATAAATCACTTTCAATCACATTTTTAGGTATTTGGGAGTCCTACAGAATGAGAGTACGCGTAAAAAGATCCGACTAATAGTAAAAAAGTTATAACCGAAAACCGAGGCAAAATGCAGGTTATGGCTCTTGTTGCTAATGCGACGATAATTTCACGTAGCTGAAATTTTTGAAATCCGTAGGCTTCATACTTCTAAATAACCACAACAAAATTGCAGTCGATTGGTCAAGTAGTTTTTGAGAATTTCTAATTGTTTATCCCAAAACACCTGTCTTCCGGCCATCACTACTAGTTTACTGAGCAATATACAGGGTTCATTCAAAGAGCATTTCATAGCAAAATACACGAGTTTACCTTGCCGACATGAATTACAAACCATTCCCAAAGATAATTGTTATTTTTATTCGAAAAATGAAGGGGATAAACAATTAGAAATCCTCAAAAACTACGTGACGAATCGACAAATATCTGCGAGAAACCATCGTCGCATTACCAACAAGTGCCAAAACCTGCATCTTGCCTCGGTTTACGGCCATAACTTTTTTACTATTAGTCGGATCTCTTTACGTGTGGTCTCATTCTATGGATCTCATAAATACCTAAAGATCTTATTTGAAGAGTTTTTTCGTTCCTCTCAACACTTTCGATTGATTCCCAAAAAACACGTTTTCTCATTCTTTGTTGTCGAATAAAAAGTTTTCCCACAAAAATTGGTGTACCCATTTTATGCGTCCATGATTTAAATGCCCCTTTCAACAACTTAAGGGTATTTTCGTTTAATATGATTAACTATAAGTCGTTATCTTTTATACTTCCGTTTTTTATGCTTATAACTCAAAAGTAAATGAGTTTTGATGAAGGTATGTTCGCATCTGAATTGATAGGGTAATACAGACCCTCAAAGTGAAGTGATCAACAAATTATTCACAATTAAACTTTTTTTAGAAACCGTGACTTACCTGAAATATATGCATTTCTGGATGTGACTGATTTGAATTCGTTACGATAAATACTAAAATATTGTTATACATTTCCATGGGGTCCTGACTCATAAATGCAGTAGGTTCCTGTATCGAATTTGCTGGAAACCTTTCCATTACACTCTGAAAAAGATTAGTTTCTTTTAATTTAGGGCAGGAGTAAATTCGTTTTGTGTACAATATTTCAGATTCTTAAGGATCTTACCAAAGGTGGTCATAAGATTAGCGGACAGACAGACAAGCCAAGTTAAATGAGTGGCATGGTTTTTAATAAGAATAATAATAACTGGTCTTTATTAGGGCGAAGTTTAGCCGTCGGCTTACTTACTTAAGCACAACATTTTCGAGGAAATCCCATATGTCTACTTTATTAAAAAAATTATCTTCCCTACGTTTTGTAGTTTTTTTGCAATGATTTTTTTAAATCCGCTCTGCTGAATGGCCCACCCTGTGATTCCGCCTCCGAAGACGAATATCCTCCTGAGCTAGACAAGATACCAGGCAAAGTCATCAAAAAACCTTACCTATCAACTATAATGAACATATTTGCTGCACGCTAGGGTAGGCAATCATATTATCATTTAATGGGCTAGTGTTATGGAATCTAGGCGTAACCAATTTCACCCATAAAGGAGGTTGGGGACCCTGTTACTGATCCCATAGAGCTTTGGACATAAAAGGACTTTCTATCGGAAGTAAGAAAGTGCAAAGAGTTTCAGAAAATTCAACTGGTGTCGAAAAATTCATGTAGTCGTGATTTTTTATTTATTCTCTTCCGGGATGTTTGGGAAATAAGGATATATACTTACACCTGTCTCATAATCCATAATTAATACCCAAGAGTTATCTAAACATAGTTGCATCTTCTGCGACCATATCCCATTAGTCTTTTCCAACTGCAGCAGTCTTCTCATTCCATCATTTGGATAAATAATACCTGTTTCTTTGGTAACAGTGAATGTGGCCAAATGTTCGATTATATGCACCGGTTTTCCCATACTATCACTTATCCTGTCTTCCCTATCTAAGTCCCTCTCCTCTCCCGAATATCCATTGCGGTAGGCCATTTTTTCATTCGTCTTGGATTATATTGGGATCTGAAACAAAAAATACACTTTTTCACTATTCACAACAAGTCTGAGAAATCAGTGTTATTGACCTGACTCCTCCAGTAGGAGATAATAATAAAAGCATGCCATTCAAAATTGTATTCTGAGAATATATATATATATATATATATATATATATATATATACACAATGTGTTTGGTCAAGACATACCGATATTTGAGGGGGGATATTTTTCAGCTATTTTTATCGACAAATCCACCCCCTACAATGTTTTACCTCACCATCCTTGAAATGGATCCATACCGCTGCGAATGAAATTAGGGCTGACACGGATATGGCCTGCCGCTCAACACGACAAATTTTTTTAAGAACAACAATGTGCATAACCAATAATGGAGGACATTTTGAACAGCTTCTGTAACATTAAACATATCTAAGCTCTCTATAAGAAACATTGATTTGTCATTTTTATGTATAGAGAGTTTGAAAACAATTTGCATTTTATTACACCCTTTTTGACCCATGTTAGATAGCATTTATTGCTTAACGTAGAATGCTTAAGATAACAAAAAGCTGTAGAATTAGCACAAAAAAGTACAACCTCACAGACTAGGTTTTGAATGGTGTGCGAAAATGTACAAAATAATCAATTTTCTTCCATATTTTTTTCTGTTTTTAAGTATGTTGGTATCAAAACAAGTTTTTCAATAATCGCTAGGACAACATGTCATCGTTCACATGACACCAAATTTACAATTCTGTGACACTTACTACTCAGTTATTACAATTTTCATACATGCACTACCTTAATCGTAACGTAAAAATAAAAATGGCAGCCATTTCAAGGGGGATGAGGTAGGACATTGTAGGGAGGTGGATTTGTCGATAAAAATAGCTGAAAAATACCCCTCCTAAATATCGGTATGTCGTGACCAAACATATTGTATATATATATATATATATATATATATATATATATATATATATGAGCAGTGAGCAGTAGTCATTGCCAGTTGTTGACTCTTTTGACGATAAAATCAAGCTTTCGGCATTCTCTATGGAGCCTTCGTCAGGATTCTGAAAACACAATTGTGATGCTAGCAAAGAAAACAGGACAGATTTAAATTGTCAAACAACTTACTCGTCGTTGAGGTTGCAGCCACAAGGTGTTTCAAAACGAACGTAAAGAAGTACATGTTAAAAATATCAATACATCCGAACATATTAAAAATTATTAAACATGAGAAGACATTTTAGGGAAACAATCGGAATGCAAATACATTTAATTTTGTTTTATATTGCCAGCTATTTTGATTTAATTGAATATTGAAATTGCCAACACCTTTATGGCCGACCCTGTATAATAAACATAGGAGCATTTAATTATAATTAATTATAATACAGCCAAGAGCTCGTGGAAATTCACACATTGGACTTTATACTGTACTTATCACAATCACCATACTACATGATGTGTTAAATTTGATGTGCTATTGACTTTACCTACAATTTATACATTTCTCATTCATTGTATTAACTTGCTCCCTCCCCCCCCTCCTGGGCCATTGGCTGGCTCAAGCACAACATTTCCGATGAGATAACCGCCATCCCAGCGAGTGTCCACGAATTTGAAGTCGAGATTTTTAGGAGTGCGTACATCTCGATGGCTCATATCTCAATGATGTTATTTTGAAAAAATAAAATTCCCATGTGTCTACTTTATCAAAAATATAAATTATCTTTCCTACGCTTTTAGTTCTTTTCTATAATTTTTTGAAATCCGCTCAAGTTAATGGGTGTATAACAGTGATGTAGATAATGTTTGTCCCAACCACGAGGACTTACCGATGTGCGAAATTGCTCTGATGAGATCCACAGTATGCAAAGGAATTTTGCTACGATAGCAAATCGGAATTTAACGCACCGGATGTTTCACAACGAATCGCGCGAAAAATGACAGTAACAAAGCATTTTATCCCGAAGTAAAGTAGGCGTTGACATTTTTTTCTCGTTGATCACAAACCGTAAAGATCTCATAAAGATATGAGACGGCTGCAATATCGATTTTCAGAATTTGCTTGCAAGGTCAAAATGCCGGATTTGTATGAAAAGCGGACTGTTCGTAAAGTTCGTATATGGACTGATGTTCTTGTAAAAAATCCGAACTGGTTTGACATCACTTCACGTTTCTCCCATTGCTACCTCACTTTTCCGTATTTATTTTGCACATCACTTGATTAGGGATCTTCTTAGAATCACAAATGATCTGAAATGTAACTGAACGACTTCACTTGGCAATTTAACATTTAGCATAATTTATATTTAGTTTTTTAAACACATAATTAATGGAATCACGGCACTTAGATTCGCAAAAAATACTTAATCCATCTTAATCGGATGTTAGTTGTCATATACAGGGTGCGGCAGAGAGGATGGACGGTTTTAAAAAAATCATAAAATAGTTAATTTTTACTCGAAAACAAATTTATTGATGGAATCAGGTTCACAAGGAAATAGCATTTGAGACAGTCAAGAAAATCACATCAGGCATGTGGTGGCTGAAATCGTTGATGCAGTGCTGGAGGCGTTCTTGGAAGTTCGCGCAGACTCTCTCCAACATCGCTCTCTTAACTTAGGCGACTTCCACGCGAATTTCGCCCTTCAATTCGTCCAGAGTTCGGGGCTTGTTCGCCTATACTCTAGCCTTGAGGTGTCCCCATAAGAAAAAATCGCATATGGATAAATCTGGGGACCGAGGAGGCCAATGAACATCGCCAAACCTGGAAATAAGGCGACCAGGGAAGAGAGGGCGAATAACGTCCATGGATGCTCGGGCTGTGTGGGCAGTCGCCCCATCCTGCTGGAACCACACACGTCAGATTGGAACACGTCGCCGTCGTAATTCAGGGTGAAAGAAGTTGGTGATCATGTGGACGTAGCGCTCTGAGTTCACGGTAACATCACGACCATTACCGTCTTCGAAGAAGTAAGGGCCAATGATGCAAGTTTGCGATACAGCGCACCAAACCGTTACTTTTGGGCTGTGCAGCGGTCTTTCGTGTAACTGTTGCGGATTTTCATTAGCCCAATAACGACAATTCTGTTGGTTAACCATGCTGTTTAGGTGAAAGTGGGTTTCGTCACTCATGGGCGATAACGCGGTGCTCCACCGTCCAAGGCTCCATAACGACAACTGGTAAAATAATGCTAGGATCTCACGAGTCAAACGGCACCCTCCCCACCTCTCTCGTAGACGGAGGCGGAGAGTACTACCCATCCCAAAAACGTCCGTCCTCTCTGCCGCACCCTGTATGTTAGTGCACAATTATCTTATTATACTTTTAAACTTATTAAAATAGAATGTTCATTGAAAAAATGTCGACAAGTAGATTGACTATACTTTTTACGATTTCGTTACCGCGAAGTTTTAAAAAAATCACGGGTCTATTCAAAAGACTCGAATGGAATCGAAATTGACTGGGTATGTTAGCTTAAGTACGATATGTCTCAAACCTCTATCTCTCAAAATATACGAAATAAATCTATCTTATTTCTATTTGAGTGGCAAATATGTATGACTATTATGTTTGATAAGTTGATACCGAGATCAGAAGCTTCATATTGATAAAACGTCTACCACAACCTGTTGTGGACCTAAAATGGACCGATTTAAAAAATAAAAGTTTTTAATGCCCCCATAAATGCTCGAAATGATGAGCCATAGTTCAAAGAAATCAGATTTATAGAGAAAAGAAGAATGTTTGAGTTCGAGCGAGAAGATGAGCCTATGTCATAATCTGCCGAGCAAAAGTTTAAACAATACTTAAGATTTTCACTTAAGAATACCAAACAAATAATAGTATGTGCAAGTAATATGAATATTTTGTAATAATATGCGCTTATTTATGATTGATTATTCACTACAAAAAAAAGATTTCTTATACGAATTTATTTATTTCCTGGCAGACCTAAATTTTAATATAATTTTCCTAATGATTCATTGCTTAAAAAATTAAAGTGGAAGATTTTAAGCTATAGTCATAAATAATTTTTTTTCTTATTTCAATTCTTTAAACAGAGTGAAATATTGTAAACTTACATCAAAAATAAAAATAGACTCAACCATGGCAAATGGAAAAAATTACGTAAATAATTGGTGTGATTTGAGATGAAATGACTACATCAAAAATACACGAGAATTTTATAAAATTTTAGTAGACCACTTTCTTTAGAAAAGGCTTCGCAAAAATGTTTTGCTCCAGGACTTGCATCTACTAGGGACGGCTCTGGAAACTATTGAAAACTATTGACAATTTGAGGATTATATATGTTTTGATTAGGTATCTATTTTTTTGTATTCCATGGTCTGCTTTTTTGTATATATTCACAGTGAATATGCATTTAAAAAAATATGCCTTTTGAAATTAGCATTACTTACCTTTTAGCGATATTTTGTAATATTTTCAAAAAGGATGATTTTATTCTGATAAATAAAAAAGAATTCCAGAAAAATTATTAATGTATGTGGTTTCGGGGACCAGCAAAATATTGAGGCTTGTCAGTAGTGAGTGAACTGAAATCTGAATCAGAACAGATAAGTGATCTGATCAAGTTCTCTTTCCCCAATTTCACAAACACGCACGTTCTTATGCATGGAATGTTTTCATTAAAGTGAAATAATTTATACGCATGATAACCTAGAAAACCTATTAGTGATATACTTGGTTCATGCGAATGAAACAGGTGATCATGAATCAATAATCCTCAGACATTATCATTTTCTCACTGATAATCATCCGCAAGTTAGGACTTTCCTTTACACGGCGTATAGGTTTTGGAATATGGGCAGTTTTTTTTCTATTATCATATACACTTACGATTACCGAGACGTTAGGCTAAGCTAAAGCGCCATTCGCTTCCTGACTTCGTGATAAGATCACGACAATCTTAAGTGACGACATAAATACTCAATTAAGTATCAGATAGAGATCACTCACTGGAATGACACTCTGCATTTTTGTATTAGTTTATATTAAACCGAAAAACCGAAATTAACAGTTACAATTTTTTTATGTATAATGAGGCTCACGTTATGAACAGGTGCTATATATAGTTTGGTACCAAAACGGAAGAGAGTAGCATAACATGACGGGATCCGGTCGCACAGCCGCGCTAGCACTGTCATACGTTGTGTTATGATACTCTCTTCTGGTTAGGTACCAGAGTACCTGTATAGTTAAAGGCTTTCAGTCAATATACAGAACCTAGGCAAAGTCATTAATTTTTACACAGACATTTTCTCAACATGAGATTCACTTGAAAGTCGGGATTTTTCAAATTGTCTAGCAAATAACTTGTAGGTTCAAAAGGCGGCGACTGATTGAAGCCGAGCGTTGTAATGTCATGTAATGTACATCCATACATCACATACGCATGAAAAGAGTTGGAGCGATAATACCAATAACTGTCTTCACAGGCCAGTTTCAAAAAAGCAAAGATTTATTATTGTGCATGCTGGTAGTGAAAATGGTTTCGTGGAAAATGCATGTTTGAAATTTAAATCCAATAGTAAGTCGGGTGATTATAATAGTGAGATGAGCTATAGTAACTATAAAAAATGACTTCAGGATAAACTGATTCCCAACCTACCACCAAACAGTGTTTTGGTTATAGACAACGCTCCGTACCACAATGTTCACATAGACAAATGTCCTACTATGTGCTTTAAGAAGGATCATATGAAAGAATGGCTAAGGCAAAAAAACATACATTTCATTGACGACATGTTGAAAATTGATTTGTATAGCCTTATCAAAATGCATAAGCCGGCATATATAACTATGAAATAAACAGAATAATGGCTGAAAAAGGTGATTCTGTTTTGAGATTGCCACCATATCACCCCGACTTGAACCCAATTGAGTTGGTATGGGCATCTTTGAAACAATATGTGGCTGAGAGAAATGTAGATTTTAATCTCAAGACTGTCGACAAACTTTGCGACGCCTTTTCTCGTCTTATGCCACAGAAGAATGGAAAAAGCGATGTGAGCATGCCAAAGGTTTTGAGAAGCAGTATATGGAAATGGCACCAGCACTCGATTTAGTTGTGGATCAAATAATAATAAACCTAGACGAAGATAGCGATAACGAAACCGAAGATTTAAGTTTAAGTAGTAGCTCAGATTCCGATTCCTAACTTTCAGGATTTGATCCTCTGTGAAACTTCATAAATCTTTAAAATATTGCCAACTGTATCTACCTCGATGTTAGTTTTCTTTTCATTTGATTGTTTATCAGTTGAAATTATTAACAATTAAAAATAGAATGAGTACCAATCAATTTCAGTCTTATAGCTACATAGCGTGCCATACTTATTTTATGGAATAAATTGTTTTGGTTTCCTTTTGACACATGCCAACAATTTCGATTTAAAAAAGCTTCACATAATACGTATTCCATTACTGAAATTATGCGATTAATTTAGGCTGTACCACTCGAGATCGAATGACACGTATTGTACGTGCCATCTCTTTTGCTCCGAATGCGTTCTCCCTATTTCGTGTGCGCAATCCCAGCTAATCCTCTTCCTAAACTTGACGAGCTGTGACACAAAAATTCCACTGACTGTCGGTTTTTTTACGAATCCCTCTGATGGTTACATTACAAGTCAGTACAGGTGGCGACTAGTTCACCTGTGAGCACAGTCTCAGCAGTCTTCTTATATTATTAGTTGAGATTTGAGATAGAGCTCTGAACACACGTTATTAATGGAGTGGTCTCAGGAGAAAACTTTATTTTTTATTGATTTACATTGTACTAAAGGTATACTATGGGATCTGCAACATGCGGACTATTATAACAAAATCAAGAAACATTATGCGTGGCAACCTGCAGAAACAGAAACTTGATTGATGAGTGTAACCGTAAAATTACAAGTTTGGCTCAGGTAACAGAAAGCCAAAATATGTAAAAGCAAAGACACAGTAACAGGTAGGAATGTGTGTCTTACTTCACCAATATACAGGGTGTCACAGAAGTCGACGTCAAGCCGGAAATGAGGGAGAGGCTAAATCATAAAAAATATAAAAAAACTTAGTGGTGTACTTTACAAATTATAGGGTAAAAAAATCCAAATAATCTACACACGTTACAATTTACAAATTTCAATTTTTTCTCAATTTTATTTTTATTGGGTAATCCTGAACAATGCTGTTGTAAATTGTTGCCTAAAATTGAACACCACCTGCTTCAGCTTGGTAGAAAATGAAACGTTTACTGACTCGCTCACACTTTGCAAAGTAGCTCTCTCTTTCTCACTGAAACTACGACTAGAATAATTTTAAATAATTAAGAA